GAGCGCGAAAACAAATTACCAAAAATTAAAATCCGCCGCCACTGGGGCGAAAACAAAAACAAAAGCTGAGCGATGATCGCATAAGCATAAAGCCCGGAATTCCCTAGAAGAAAACGACGTCATATTAAAGCGCTCTCCCACACACAGACACTCGCTCACGCTATCGCTCTCTGGCAGTGGCTCTTTCTTCTCCGGTCTGTCCCCCCCCCCATCATGCTCTCGCTTTCGTCGGATCTTCGATTTCTTAACTTTTCATTAGTTTCTGTTTCAAACTGTTCTCCCGTGGGGCTCTTGTTATTTTGTTGTTGCTCACCGATATTATCGCACCCGTTTTTGTGCCCGCGCAAAAATTAAAAAAAAAAGTAAAAAAAAAGAAAGAGAAGAAAACATTATTTATATATATAAATAATAAGCAAACCGGTTCCCGTGATTGGTTGCGCTCCTCGGTGTGTGTGTTTGTGTGTGTCTTAAAATTAAATTGGTATTTTTCAACTATAAATAATTACTTTTTGCACTTAATTTACATAACGGGACAATTTTCCGACAAAACAATAAAGATGTACAAAAATTAATAGAATAAATATCGCCCATAAAAGTGTACTAATTGGTTCGCGTTAAATTTTCAGGTGCCTGCAATTAATACCAACGATCAGTGATCAATGCCTATAAAAAGTTTACAGATCACTTCTTGACTTAGGTGAGTCCCCTATAAGCCTAGCTTACTTACTTATTTATTATGACCTTTGATTCGGTGTGATCTTGATAGATGCAAGGGAAAATCCTAATGGCCGGGATATCTGAAATGATATCAATATTTGAATATTGCTTGTAAGCCATTAAGGGCTTTGGGTTCTAAGTTATAACGTTGTAGGTTTGATGTCATATTTGGTATACCTATTAGGTTATACAAAATCTTGTTTAATAAAACAAGGCATAATTTAACATTTTCCTGCTTTACTTAGAAACCGTTGTTCAGGGAGAGCTTTGGCTCAATGTATAGAAGATATTATATTATCTGATATCTGAGAAAACTGTGTTTTATTAGCAATTTATATTATTATAACCCATTATTATTTATTGCTGACGTCCATGACCCATACTTTATCACTTTCCAGGGAAGTAAGGTTTATAATTTCCTCTTTAAGAATAATATTTCTACGAAATAAATTTTAACATTTCATTAAAATAATTCTCCGATTTGTAATGTTTATTAAATGAGTAACATATTTCTTTTAAAATATCGTAAAATGGTTCAAAATATGAACAGTAACATTTGTGAAAAATAAGGTCACTAAAATCAGCAATAAAGTCCCAGAAAATTTTAGATAATTGTGTTTTTGTTTAAGTTTACTAGCCTTTTTGATATTTTACAAAAGGATTCTTGGAGAACTTTTAAGGTAAGGTTTCTTCACTGCTCTTTATAGGCGCGTAAACTACTTACAGTGTAACCCGAAGCTTTTTCGGGTGGCAATTATCTACTTGCGTATTAAATAATCCACTGTGAATGCAAACGATAAACTGAAATAATGGCCAAAACACCTGTGTACATGGCAGCGCAGTCGCAGAGGCTTCTGCCTGCGTTGCCGACAAACGAAAGTTTCTTACGAGGCGCGCACGTGTGTGCACTAGTAGTAGTGTTTCCGTCTCTGTATAGGTGAGTGGAAGGGGTGGCAAATGGGGGTTGGGAGGTTGGGAAAGCTTTTGCCACAGTGTATTTTGCTTGCATTTGTTTTTTTTTTTATTCGCAGGCATTCAAATAAGCCGGAGAGGTTTTCATTCGGTTCATTCTAAGATCGAACCTATGCCTCTGCGGTCGTGTGTTCGCGCCTTATTTCTATTATTTTTATTTGGTTCGGTTCAATTTATTTCCGCTGCAAAATATTAAGAAACAAAATATTCAATATTTATTAACCACAAAGAGCGGTTATTGTGCTTCTTCGAGTGTGCCGGAGTGTGAGTGTGTTGAAGGAAATAAGTTAGTCATGTGTCTTAACTGGTCCTTGGTTTAATTCGCAGGTAATTATGAAGAAAAAAAGGCTTTTAGCTAATTCGGTGTAATTTTTGAAATAATACAAAATAAAATAAAATAAAACTGCAGCCAAGCTAAATGCAAACCGGCTGCTGACTCACTTCGCGAGTGCCGAGCCGAGGGAAAAATAAAAGCGAAAAGTCGCCTTATTTTAGCAAGTCATCTACGATACACAAAGCTCGAGTGCCGCTGGAGATCTGTGTGCTGACAGAGATCTAAGGCCAAGTAAATAGATGATATTCCGTATATTTAGCTGGGTAGTTTCCCCATATGCTAAACCCGGAGTCATGATTGATACGATCTGTAGGTGGGTAAGGCCCTCTATGCAAATCATCAATCAATAGGAATTCTCTGTTCCTTAAATATAATCCGAAGCGTGAGCATTATAATTGGGTTGATGGATAAGATATAGGTACATTTGTATATTATATATTGGTTTTGGCGAGAGTCACATGTGAATGTTAATTCCCAAAAAATTAAGGTGTTGATTGTGTTGAAAATAGAAAAATTGTGTTTTCTTGATTGGACTTTTTATTGTATAAACATATATAGCTAAACAAGTCACAACTCCTAATAGAGATGTTACAAGCTTTAACTTAAAGAAAAACAAAAAGATTTATTTATTTTTTGTGTTTTTATATTATTTATATTTTCCATTATAATAATAATTGTTTGTCTTAAAAGATTTATTTAAAAGTAGCGATTTCAAAAAATATTTAATGTACCCCTCCTATATTTTATAAAAGAACTACCTGTATAGTTTAGTTTAGAACTAGTTCCATCGATTTGTCAGCATATCGGTTATTTATTTTTATTTGAGCTGTAAATTGCTTGACGCCAATGATCGTTAAAAAACATTTGGCTGTCTGGAGGTTTTTGCGGAACCCGTTTCTATGAGGAATTTTTGGCTGCTTCTGCTGCTTTGATGTTGATCTTAATCTTAATTTGTGGTGCTGGCGCCAAAAGAACTTTTTTCTGTGTGCCTTTGCTATTGGAAATTGCATAAAATTAGCATCGTAAATGATCGAAACGAATGTTTTTATTTTATTTTGTTTATTTACCTTTATATATTTTGTTCGCCAAAAGAAGTCATAACTGGCAGATAAGCGACTGCGATCGTGGTTTTTTATTAATCAATTTTATGGTTGCCAAAAACTTTTTACTTTCAATGGTTTTTTTTCTCGTTGGTAACAACTTTTATCAAGTGGAATTTTTGCCAAAAATATCAAAACTGTTTACTGAACTTTGGCAAGGCTTCAGTGTTGTTCATTCTAAGCTAAAGTTTAACAAACAATTTAGCTTTTCCCCCGTTGGTGTCTATTTTCACCCCTGTAATCTTATTTTCGGTTATCTTGGAGTATTTGGGTTTGGGTTCGTTATTTATACGCTCCACACCTGAGCACTATCAGTCTGAACGGAGAGCTCTGCAGGTGCTATCAGATGGGCGTAAACGGTAGCGCTTTGTTTTTTTTTCCTGTTTTTGTGTTTCGGATGATATAATCGAAAATCGTAAGCAGAATCGGTGGTATAAGGTCACTTAATTACCTGCAGAGTTGTATGTTCCCTGAGTGACATTTTCAATTGGTCTGTGGGAATTTCCCGAAGTGGATATTCGCTAATAAGGAGATTTCTATCGTCTAGGGGGTAACTGACCTATTCGCGCTCTGTTCTATACGAAAGTCACGTAGTTGGTGAATGATTCCTTGACCAACAGTGGGTGGCACACGAGCGAATTCCTCGCATTTTTCAATCTATAGCGATGTGGCGAATATTTTGTTTCGTGACTCATTTGGTTTTCGTGGAAATTGAAATATTTTGTTATTAACAATTCAGATGGTCCGAGAATATAATGCATTCATTCATTTTTCGTGTAGATCCACAGTATATACCCTATATATCCTCTGCCCAGCATAGATTTGTACTATATAACTCATTAGCGAGCTTTCTGAACTGGCGCCAACTGCCCAAGGCGGATTGAACGCTGACAAGTGTCGAGAGCATTTTCGCCGTGGATATTGAAACGGAAATGCCAATATAACCCAAAACCATATGCCTACCGTATATATATTTTAGATACCCCCTAGGTATACAAATGTACTTGAATAATGTGTTTATATTCACTGCAAAAACAAACAAGCCTCTGTTGATGCATTTTATGGTAATTTTCAAGATACCTTTGCATCTTTTGCTTAGATTAGGAGGCGCATTTTTGTGCGATTCGGTTTTTTTCTCCCCCAAATAATACGTATGACTCAGTCTGGTAGGGTTCATAAATATATACTATGGCATTAAATCCGATATAAGCATGAATTTGTTTTGTTTGGGAATTTTTATATGATTTTTGTATTGTGTATATTTTTTATGATCTGTGTTTAGATCGAGTTAACATTGTATGTTTGCATGTTCAATACTAACAAAATAGTGAATGAAATGAAAACCGTATTCTTATGTACTCGTAGATTTTAAAATGTATTCTTATATAGTTATTAATTGTTTGAGAAATCAATAAAACACGTGTGCGATCTCAATCGATTCAATTGTTTATACAATTGCCAGCTAAAGTTTATTGACACCGGTTATTAAATTTTCATTTCCATTTTCTTGATACCTGCTACAAATTGGGAAATGTCGTTCGCCCATATTTTACATATATATCGTATATATCTTTCATTCCTGAAAAATTGGGACAACTGCCTAGGCGAAAGAGAAAATTCCTTGAAAGCAAAAGCAATAAATACATGACACGAAAAACAGGCAGATACAAAAATATACGTTTGTACACAATGTGCATTGGACAAGCGCAAACAATTTAAATGTAATAAATTTTTAACATATTAAATAAAATAAAAATAGCAGAAAGCTCTGCTCTGGCGACGAAACTTTCGCTGGGCGGCAAGCGTGCATAAAGAATTTTGGTGTTTTTTTCTCAAAAACATTTTGCTCGGTTCAGTGTTCAGACATTAGGCGAGTACTCAAGACGTTTTGCCGAGTGTGTTTTCGTCGGTTCGGTCAACTATACAGAAATATTTTTCTCTCTATAATACCTATAGATACGAAAATATATAGTAGAGAGGCGTTGTGTGCATATAGAAACTTAGTTCAAGACCAAAAACGACAGATTTCAGAGGAGGTCACTCTGTGTGCGGTTATTGAACAAATCAAATCGAATAAAAAACTAAGAAAAAACATATATAAATATATGAAAAATATATATTAATTGCCTTGTCAATATTGTAATTGATTGACCAAAAGGACCCGCAAAATATCCGAATATCTCCAGTTTTATCTGTGTGTGGTGAACGACTTTCCATCAAAGTTTGGCCGTGATAAGTGAAAGGTGATTAATCGACTAATATCTCTACGCAAAACAATACGTATGAGTAATATATAGTAACTAAATTGCATTCGTATTACACATGTTGGCACTTATCCAATTGGCTTTTCATATTTGCTTAAAATGCAAATAATTTAATGACGTAATCCTTCCGCACAGAATTCTGTGTTATGAAAATTTTGATCGGTTTCAACAATTGGCTTTATCGAATCACAAACGCAAGAAAGTGATTTCTTTCTAAAAACATAAATTGTAGAATGACAGCACGTGGGATATTCCTTTTGATTTATTGTGATTTTGGTAGTTTTAAAGGTTGTTGGACTTTGGTGTCCTTTGATTGGTGGTTTCTTTATTTAAAATGAAGATTGTTCCCCGTTCAAGTGTTTCGGCATGATTTATAGCCTCAAATAATTCTAGGTGACGCACAAAAATCATTTGACAGCTGTGAAAACTTTAATCGAGAAATCGAATTCACCTAGAGAAACACATTTGTCTTTGGCATATATAAATATGTTTTTCGATATAACAACTGTTTAAAAAATCTGTTAGAATGTTGCTATTTTTTAAATAACTTCCAAATAAATATAATTTGAAAATATATAGAAAACACTTCCACTATCACTTCCAGGTATCTGTTAAGTTCTTTAAACAATTATTTAGATATATACATGTGATATGGATGATGACTCAGAGCTATTGGTTATTAAAATGTTATCCTATAGTAAAACTTTCTAAGAAAATTACAAATTAATTTCCTGCTACCGATGAGGGATATGGATGGTATCTTTAGGATACACGAATATATACATACCTTTTAGAATACAAAAATTGGCACACGTTTTCTGGCTTCCGCTCTTGTGCCCCACCGATGATTGGATCTGCGGAGATCGGACCAATGCATGGGCATTAGTTTTGTCAGCCATTGACGTATGTATTGCCCACGGCAGACCGATGTCTAGACGACACGATCAGAGAATAAACTCTGAGGTCATACAGCTACTTAGTCTTCCTTGATATGTATCGTCTATCTATATCCACCATCGGCGAAAGAACTGCTGCGTTGACAATGCGCCATCATTGATAAAATGTTTTGTTTGGTTTGCTCCAAACTCGCCAAAAAAAAAAATATACAAAGAATAAAAAGCTCAGCCATCTCCGGGGAGGCCAGTCTGCGAGGCAAACTATATATACGATCACCTATATATGTATACTATCCGATATATGGGAGCATAGGCTGCGGAGGCACCTCACAGAGTCCGTGTCGCTTTGTGGCCGCGTTACGCAAAATTTTATTTTTAAACAAGGCGTCCGGAGCTTTAGCCGGACTACACCGGACTAGACCCGTACACGGATCCCAACCCGGATCCCAAAAACAAAACAAATGTGATTTACCTGACCATAAGATTACCCTGTATACAGTTTAGCTGGCCAGAAACATAGACTAAACCCAAGGAGCTGTTGTGATTATAAAAAAAAAGTGATATTATGTAAAATTATAATTTATTTGCTCATGAGGATATAGAGTTAGATACACATTCTTCATATTATTTTCTACATTTAACTCTTACTAATATACCCTTCTATTGAGGGGTATAAACACCAACGCATCTATTGCTGCAGCTGCATCGCATCGGGAGCAGAATTATGAAAATATACAGCTCTCCTAATGACCCCTAAATAGTGCAATTAATGCTGTTTAATGTAGACACAAAAAGCCACCCACCTAGAAGAGGAGGAGGATCAATAAATAGAGTTGGCCACCTTTTTCAGTTCTCTGCCAGACACTTTACGATTCGGTTCGTCATATGTGTTTCTGCATATATAGCCAGTTCGAATAAGTTCTGGGGCCTTATTTTCGGTTAACACCGTCATCGCACAGTAGCGCCTCTCGAACAAAAGCCGTTGCAAAAATCGAAAAAGTCGTTGTCGCAAAAATGATTTTAACCATACTTATTCGACAGGAAATTTCCCATGGATTCAGAATCTGCTGTAAAATCATTTTTCGGATTTTTTTTGTAGAAGATATGAGCATTCAAAGTTGAACTTTGTTTCCATTTTTGCATCATAAGAAAAAAAAAGGAAAAATTTGTTGACTTTCAGGTAAAATTACACAAAAACTATATTACCTATCGCCATGATTTTTGCTTTAAATAATAGACACATTCATAAACTGTAACTCAATCCAAAAAAAGGGGAATTGGGATAGGGCTTGCATAGGTAAATTGCTACCTGCCAGGTGTCCATTTTTTTCACTTTTTTCTGGCTAAAGTAGTCTATATCTTTTTTGGATGGGCTGAGCCACTATACACACTATAACTACGACCTTTGTGGATCTATTCTGGACCAAATTCAACTTACATCTGCTGCGTCGAGCTGCGTCCCCGGAAATGCAACAGCATAAACCAAAACTACTCAGGGTTAAATATACCAAAATACCGACTCAGCTTCATACTAACCATAAAATATACTAACTGTAGCGCGTGGCGGTTACACGTTGAAATAAAAATAAATTTTTTTTTTCAGTTTTCAAATTATTTTTATCTGAGCAAATACATAAAAATAAAGATAAAAAATTAAATAAAAAATATTTTTAAAAAATTGTCTTCATTGAGAAAAAAATATTTCTTTACTTTGATACCCTTTAAAAAGGCGAATGAGTGGGCGTGGCAGATTTTCCAATACATATGTAAATTTTACAACAATTACCAATCAAATGGCGTTTAAATTATTTAGTTATCTTATTTTGTTCAGAAGTTTTGATTTTTGCAACGTAAAATGAGAAAAGGCGCTACTGTGCATCGTCTGGCTTTGTCTGGGAGACCTTCGATTGGCTTGCCAAGGAATTGTTTTGCCTTTTGGTCATAACTTTTAGTCAGAAGAATATGCTTTAAATTAAAGAAAAATAGTTCCTAGTAGTTGGTAAATTATATTTATATTATTATATATTTTTTAAGTTATGTTGAATATTGTCTTAACTCTATCTATCCTTTTCCCTTGCAGTTAATATTTTGGCCACGAAATGTTTCCCAACCAGAACAACGTAGCCGCTACTGGGCCCGGTCCGGCGCCTGATGGCCAACAGAGCCTTGGCTACAATGGACTGCCGACTCAGCAGCAGCAGCAACAGTTGTCACAGTCCACGAAGAATGTGCGAAAGAAACCCTATGTTAAGATCACGGAGCAGCCGGCGGGCAAGGCCCTTCGTTTTCGCTACGAGTGTGAGGGCCGCTCGGCGGGCTCTATTCCGGGAGTAAACTCCACGCCGGAGAACAAGACCTATCCGACGATTGAGATTGTGGGCTACAAGGGACGTGCCGTGGTGGTCGTCTCATGTGTGACCAAGGATACGCCTTATCGGTGAGTGGAGCATCCTTATATCTTAATTGCTGATTTGTAATATATTACCTTTAATCTTTCAGTCCTCATCCTCACAATCTGGTGGGCAAGGAGGGCTGTAAGAAGGGCGTCTGCACATTGGAGATCAACAGCGAAACCATGCGAGCTGTCTTCAGCAACCTGGGCATTCAGTGTGTCAAGAAGAAGGACATTGAGGCGGCGCTCAAGGCGCGTGAGGAGATTCGCGTGGATCCCTTTAAGAGTGAGTTCTTGGAAAACTTTCAACTTTTCTTTATTAAACGAACCGCTTATCTCTCCTTCCAGCTGGCTTCTCGCATCGTTTCCAGCCCTCGAGCATTGACCTAAACTCGGTACGACTCTGCTTTCAAGTATTCATGGAGAGCGAACAGAAGGGTCGCTTCACATCGCCTCTACCGCCTGTGGTCTCGGAACCCATTTTCGACAAGAAGGCCATGTCCGACCTGGTCATCTGCCGGCTGTGCAGCTGCTCGGCCACCGTGCTCGGCAACACACAGATCATCCTGCTGTGCGAGAAGGTGGCCAAGGAGGATATTTCGGTGCGCTTCTTTGAGGAGAAGAACGGCCAGACTGTGTGGGAGGCATTTGGGGATTTCCAGCACACTGATGTCCACAAGCAGACTGCCATTACCTTTAAGACGCCGCGCTATCACACCCTGGACATTACAGAGCCGGCCAAGGTAAAGATATCAAGATACCTAAGATACCTTTTCCTATTTTCTTTAATTTTGTTGTATATTTCCAATCAGGTCTTCATCCAACTGCGACGCCCATCGGACGGAGTCACCAGCGAGGCCTTGCCCTTCGAGTACGTGCCATTGGATTCAGGTAAACACACATTCTGGAACCTTCATCGGCACCTCAAGCGGAAGCCCGACGAAGATATCTTTCAGCAGATTCTCAAGTTGGACGCCAAGCGGGAGGCGCCAACGATTGAGGTCATTGACTTGGATACCCCGAAAATACAGGTGCAGCGAGAGCCACCTTTGGACGTGGTATTCCATCAAGAGGATTCTATACAAGAGGAGCCTTCATTTTTGTCCCAAGAACACGAGCAGGATTCACAGCAGGAAGGATTTTTACAGCAGGAGGAATCTCTGCCGCAGGAGCAAACTTTACAGCATGAAGAAGAGCAATCCCTGCAGCAGGAGCAGCCTCTCCAACGGGAGTTTTCAGCCCAGCAATCCGTTGAACAGCCCTCGGAGCACTTGACGGATCACACTTCCGATCATATTCCCGAGGATATGGAGGCAGCCGATGCCCAGGCAGAGGCTGAGGCCCATCGTTTGCGGTCCGAACAGGAGAAGGAGATCGACACCATTATCGATGAGAAGGTGCGGGAATTGGAGCAGCTAGAACTGGGTCAACATCTCGAACCGCGACCGCTGTCGGCCGATGACAAAGTCACCGAATGGATGAAGTCCAGCGAGATCGAGCAGATGGTTCATGAACCAAGTCCCACGGTCGAAGGAGATGTCTTGGACGCTGCCTTGGAGGCGCATATAACCGAGGAGGATAAGACACTGAATGAACTTCTGGAGCAGGTGGCGGAGCTGGATGAGATTTACACGGACTACAAGGTCCAACGGGACACCTACAATAACACCATGAGGAACGAGCTGGCTGCAATGGAGGGACATCCGCCGTTGCAAGTGGAGGAGAGTTTCGATGATGCGGCCACCTATACGAGCTTGCAGATTGCCTTTAGGAACCCTGTTCTTATACCCATGGATGACATCATGCCGCCAACGCCGCCCATGTCGCAATGTGCTCCAGAAGACGCCCACCAGCATTACGATCCTGTGGAGGTTAACTCACAGGCCAAAAAACCGGAGACTCCATCCCGACCAGCTCCCCCCGTGCCAGTGCAAGTGCCACTGCAAATGCCTGCGATTATTACGGTTCCGTTTCCCCCCGAGGAGGAGAAGCTGCCGCCTCTGCCGCCGAAAAGGATTCGCAAGCAGGACAGCAACGCGGAGAATCGTTCCATCGAGGCCAATACGGTTCAGGCCAGGCCATCCACAGCCGAATCCCCTCTAAACAAGAGACTTCCTCCCGCTCCTTCTAATCCCAAGAACCCGAATTTCAACACTCTACCGAGGCAGAAGAAGCCAGGCTTTTTCTCAAAGCTTTTCTCGCGGCGTAAGAGCAAACCGGACTTGGCCCAGGGATCGGGTCAGGATAGCGGCTCTCTGCTGGACTCCAAGATGAATAGTAGGGAGCCTAGCATAGGGCACTTTAACATGCAGGACCCGATGAGGGCCTCGCTCCGCTCCTCCAAGTCTGCAGCGCCCTTCCTCTCAAGCACCAATCAGACAGCAGCAACAACAACGAAAACCAGTCCTGTGAAGGCCAAGAAGCCCGGCTCGAAACTGACCAAGCCAGTGGGCCGGAGTGTGAGCAGTGTTTCGGGAAAGAGGCCAGCCTACTTGAATGCCGATGTGGTACACATACCCCTGAAGGGTGACAGTGCCAACAGCCTGCCCCAGCATCCCCGAACCGAGGCCTATTCCCAGTCCAGCACTGTGTCAGTGGGCGGAGGACTGGACCGGCGCACTGCATCCGCTTTGCAGCTGGCCGATATACCGATTAGCGAGGGCGGCATGGAGCTGGTGGCCATTGCCGATCGCCAGAGCCTGCACAATTTGGTCAGCTCCATCGAGGGGCACTTCAATGTCCAGCTGGATCCCAATCTGGATCTGACCGAAGCCGAACACTTTGCCTTGTACACGAGTATTCCGCCGCTGGCGGCGGCCAGTGAATTCGATGAGACCTCCGCCTACTATGCTCCAGTGGATGCCGGCGAGATCCTCACCCCCGATGAGGTGGCCAAGCGATTGGCGGCAGCTAATGGCCTGAATTAGACCGTGAAAATTTGTTAAATTATATATTGTTTAGGCAAACGAAAAAAAGAGGTTAAGAAGCTACCTACGAAACTCCAAAACGAAGCAAGTTGCGTACGGAAAGCCAGAGGGGAAAAGTAGACCCTTTCCATAATGAAGGGAAAATCGGCTCTGGTGGAGGTCCACTTGTGGGAGGAAAGCCTTTTCAGGTCCTCCGAAAATTGTATTTGTTTTTTAGATTTGATAATTGTGCTAAAAGTATCCCCCGAAATATGTATTTTGTAAGCGATACCAAGAGCAACGAGAGCCCAGGCAAATGGGCTTGAAAGAGATTTGTTATTGTCCAGGTCGCTCCTTCCAAAGAAGGATGCAGGACCTCCCATTAATTGTATTTAAGCGAAACCACTCAATTTTCAGAGTAGCGTAAGATTTCCACAGCGAAATCGAATATTGTTTTTAAATTGAAACCAAAAAACCAAACCGAATCCATGTACAACATTGTGTGTGTATGTTTTGTCTTATAGATCCAGCGCACCTGAGGCGGAAACGTCAGAAGACTGGCGGTGATCCCATGCACCTGCTGCTAGCGCAGCAGCAGAAACAGCAGTTACAGAACGACCATCAGGATGGCAGTAAGTCAGCTGTTGAGACCTTTCTTCTTAGCTATAAACTCTGTTTGCCTCTCTGGTGGCGGTCCACTGTCCTCTCTATTGTCGATTTGAATATATATCTCTCCCCTGTGTACGGATCCACTTGGGTGCTTTGTTTGTGAGATGCCACAGATGCCATCTAACCGATCCGATCCTACCTGGTCGACAGCGTTCGTTGTTCGACACCTTTTCGGTGTATACCAAAGACTTACTTTAACAAGTCATCGCCTCCGATAATGTATTAATCGAATAGACTCTTAGCAACTATTAGATGTCACTCTCACTCAAAATGCACACAGCCAATCACCAAGAGCAACAACCAAAGAGGAAACTATATATTTGGGGACAGCCCTCCTCCTACTATATATTTATATATTGATTTACATATGTCGTAGTCGAAATTATAGCAATATTATTGTGAGAGGTGAGGGGTTAAGGAAGCAAATGGAAAAGGGAAGTTGATTTGAAATCAAAAAACGAAATTTTTGTCGCTTTTTCTACTCGTTTACATGCGAAGAATATTTGATATTTTTATATATAATGAAGAATTACAAGTTTGGTAAACATATTTTGTATAAAATATTGTAGCTTAATAAAACAGAAAGAAACAAAGTTGAAATGAAAGAAAAAACCCGAAAATATTGTTGACCTTGTTATTTAAAAGGAATTTTTTATAGGTCAAATGTAAGTTTTGCTCTAATTCAAAAAGTAGTTCTGAGTGAGTTTCTTAATATGATTTTTAAAATATTTTTGAGTTTTTTTCTGGTTTTTAAAATTATTTATTTTTTATTTTAAAATATTTCTCTGCATGTTTGCTTGGCTTATTAATTCAAGGAAATATTTTATGAGTCTTCCTTCGACATAAATTGGATTGTGCTTTAGTTGTCTTTGTTTGCTGTTTGTTTCTTGTTAATTTTAATGTTTGTTTATTAATCATAATTTATTATTATTTATCTGCATTAATTTTTGTTTTTGCTTTGCTGCTTTCTTAGGACAAACTAACATGAATTGCTGGAATGCGCAAAATATACCTCCAATCAAAACGGAACCCAGAGGTGAGTAATTATTATTATAAGAACTATTAAATATTATAAAAAAAAGTTGTTTCCTATATATTATTTATATCAAGAGAGCCAGTAAATATTGATTTATCGATACATATGATAAATTGTTATTATATTTGATATATCGTATCTTTTATTGTAAAAGAAACTGAGCCAAAAAGCCTAAAATACCTGAAAATATTTCTGGATATTACATATTTCGATATATGAAACATAATAATATTTTCCATACAATATTGAGTGTAATATATCTCCAATTGATATCCAATCTCCCCTAAGATACCTCACCGCAGCCTTTCGGCCTGTCATATCGAGCTCCGCCCGAGCTCACGCCATCGCCGCAGCCGCTGTCGCCGTCTAGCAACTACAACCACAACAGCACGCCCTCGCCCTACAACATGGCCTCCTCGGTCACGCCCACCAACAACCAGCAGCAACAGCAGCTAATGTCGCCCAATCATCCCCAGCAGCAGCAACAACAGCAGCAGCATCAGCAATTTGGGACAGATCTGGGAAACAATTACAATCCATTTACTCAGCAAGCACTCGCACAACAGCAACACCAGCAGCAGCAACAGCAACACCAGCAGCAACAGCAACATCAGCAGCAGCAGCAACATCAACAGCAGCAGCAACAGCAACTGCAATTCCATGCCAATCCCTTTGGAAATCCAGGTGGCAGCCACTGGGAGAGCAAGTTCTCGGCGGCAGCCGTGGCAGCAGCAGCCGCAGTGGCAGCGGGAGCAACGAATGCCAACGGCAATACAAACAATAGCAACAATCTCTGTAATCTCAACAATCCTTTCACCATGCACAACTTGCTCACGTCGGGTGCAGGTCCCGGCACTGGCAGCAATCTGCAATGGAACCTAAGCACAAATCATCTGGTGGGTTAAGCAAATATCCCAGAAATTATCAAACAAATATCCTAAAACTTGTATCAAATTCATTTTGCAGCATAATCAGCACACGCTCCAGCAGCAGCAGCAACTGCAACAGCAGCAGCAGCAACATGTCCCGCCCATGCATCAGTATGATAATAATGCACCCAGTAACAATAATCCCAACAACGCCAACAATAACAATAATAATAATAACAACAATAATGGGAATAATGGGGGCAGCCAGGCGGATAATGGTCCCACGATCAGCAATCTGCTCAGCTTCGACAGCGAGCAGCTGGTGCGGATCAACTCAGAGGATCAGCAGATACTGCGCCTCAACTCCGAAGATCTGCAGATATCCAACCTATCCATATCTACGTAATACCTTATCGAAACGAACCAATCACCGATGCACAGAGCACAAATATAAGAAGAAGGAGGCCGTAGGAGGATGATGATGATATAGCATTAAACCTAATCGACCTGGTCGTCGTCATAATTGATTGTTTTAGTGTTGTAATAACTAGTTTTAATGCAAAAAATGTGTGTTTTGTAGGATATAATAATGTTTTTTAAATATGAATAAATTAATCGTTTTAGCAGTATGAAAAGCAAAGAAAAGAGTTGTTGTTGGAGCTTATAGAAGTTTATTATATAATTATTATTTGTTGTTTTTGGTTCTTAATAGGATGAATATAAATATAATTGTTTTAAATTCTAATAAGTGATCTACTAGAAGGTGAAGTGAAGTGTAAAATGTTTATAATTATCGCTTGATGACCTACACACAATTTTAATGTTTCATTTATAGTTGAAATTCAGATCTGGGTAGTTGCTATATTGGAGTTAAAAGTTAAAATGAATTTTCAGAACATTGCGTTTGTTACTTTAGTGGATCTATGTATACTTAATTTGGTAAGATATATTGTGTTTTCACACACATGGGTAATAAATAAATTTATTTTTTAGCTCGAAGGTCGTGGACTAGATTTTACTAATGTAAAATGTACTTCTCTGGATAAAACATTCTCTGACTTTGGTTATTGCTATTTGAAAGCGGAGAACCGCACGTATAAGCACTTGTCCCTCAGGGTTATTCTTTACAAACCACCAGTTAATCAATTTAAGGTGCGTCTGAGCTACAATTTATTTTTTAATATTTTTTTATACCCTTGCAGGGTATTATAATTTCAGTCAGAAGTTTGCAACGCAGTGAAGGAGACGTTTCCGACCCTATAAAGTATATATATTCTTGATCAGCATCAACAGCCGAGTCGATATAGCCATGTCCGTCTGTCCGTCTGTCCATCTGTCCGTCTGTCCGTCTGTCCGTCTGTCTGTTTCTACGCAAACTAGTCCCTCAGTTTTAAAGCTATCTGAATGAAACTTTGCATATAGTCTTCTATATACTCTCACTGCTATATATGTCGGAACGGGCCGGATCGGACGACTATATCATATAGCTGCCATACAAATGTTCGATAAATTTTTCGAAAAAAAATTATAACTTTGCTGTTTTTTAACATTTTTGCACCATTTTTTAGATATGGCCATTCTATATTATTTCTGAATTTTGGTAAAAATTTTATGAAAATCGGACGACTATATCTTATAGCTGCCATAGAAACGATCGGGAAATTAATAGGAAACAAATTATAACTTCGTTGTTTTTCAACGTATTTTCATCTACTCTGAGATATAAGCTTATTTTATTATTGTAGAATTTTGGTATAAATTTCATGAAAATCGGACAACTATATCATATAGCGGCCATAGGAGCGATCGGTAGATGTAGAGAAAATGTAAAGGTGTGAATGTAAAACTGTAACTGTCAAACTGTAAACATTATAAGTATAGTTGAAATGTAATGAAATAATATCTGCAAGGGTATACAAACTTCGGCGTGCCGAAGTTAGCTTCCTTTCTTGTTTTAAATTGATTTTTGCTACTTTTTACTATAGGTAAATCTCGCTCTATATAAGCGTTCCAATGGTTTGAGTCCGGTGAGCTTTAACTTGACCGTTGATGGATGCAAAATGATATCTGGTCACCAAAGTCCCTGGGTTAACTTTCTTTTCAGCCTTTTTACTGAGCACTCGAACATTAATCATTCGTGTCCTTATAATGTGAGCCTCTTATTGTCGTATATTTACTTTTTTTTTTAATATTAAACAATAATTACCTCGTGATTCTTACATTCTAGCATGATATAATTGTGGACAAGCTGCCAGCTCATTTTATTCTTCAAAAGTTTACCTCATTTCTACCATTTCCTGAGGGCGATTATGTTTTTTCCAGCAATTGGATTGCTTACGGCATTAATCGTGCCAATGTAAGGGTGCACATCTCGTATACGTAATATTTGTAAAAGATGTTTGTTAAAATATAAATAAATATTGTTGAATATTAGATTTTTACTTTAAAATATGGAAAAGTAGTAATGAATATTTATTTTTAAGTACTTTTTCGACTGCTTTATTTTATTTTTGGATTTCATTAACAAAGATTTTAAATGCAACTTCAACTAATAGACAAAAAGATAAACGCAGTATTAACCAAATTAAACTAAAACTAAATAAACGCAAGGCTCATATCTTAACCAGACCTTTCTTGACTTTGGCTTTTCTTGTCATCCTTTACATAATTATTATCGGCCTGGAAATCAATCTCGATGTGTGAACGGGAAAAGAGTTGCTTTAAACGAGTAACAGCCACTGGAATCAAAGGCGATGCCATTGGTGGCGGTGTTCCAGGGAGCATGTAGTGGGCCACAAAGTGGAGCATCCGATAGGTGGCATGCTGATAATCCTGGCTGTGGGCAAAGCACTGACGGATCCTTTGACCCAAAGTGGCGGCCAAGCAATTCTGCAGATTGACCAATTGCTCATCTTTTTCCTGAATCGTAGTTTCTAGCTGTAAGGTGTGTTCGAGCAGTTTGCTAAACGAAAATAATTTTAATTTTAGTATTTCCTAAATTATTTATAAATACTTAAGACCCACCTGTACGTCTCATCCGATGCTTCCTTGAGATTTTTCAACTTTTCTGTACTCTCGCGTAGCTCTTCAAACAAATCTTGCTTAAAGATCGCATCAGTTAGGAGCAATTCAACCTGCTGGTTTAGCTCATCTCGGATTCGTTGGCTCTCCTGAAAATCGTTTTGGAGGCGGGTCAGCTGCCCCATCTGCTCCCGCTGCTGATTCTGTAACTGAAAGAGCTCGCTTTTCAGAGATTTTTGCAACTCCTCCAAGTTTTCAATGTCTTTATTCTTGGCGGCTACCTCCTCAGCTAGCTTTTCCTTGTCGGTCCTTACCTCCACCAACACTAGGCTGAGATCCTCATAGGAGAGCTTAATCTGGGCATTGTCCCGATAAGATTGACGTAGCTGATCATTAAGAGTGCCGTTGCGACGCTGTTCCACACAGAAAAGCGAATTGAAAACGTGTAACTGATTGCGATTCTTAACGAGCTGAGAAGGTATAGACATAAATGAGGCATATGGAAATTTTCCTACAATTTAAATTAAACTCACACTCTTCTTAAAGTCATCCACCTGATCGGTGAGCTGTCGCACCTCCTGACGACGCTTGCGCCAGGCATGCAGCATAATGGTGTTAAAGATCCTCAGGCTGGCCACACGTGCGTCCTGATCCGGGCCAACCAGGAAACTTACCTGCCCGTCGCCTGCCTTTATAAGAGTATCTGCATCCTGCAGCGTTAGCTTGCCCAGATCGGCCTCCAATTCCTCGACTGCTTTTCCCAAAGGCGGCTGTTCTGTGATCACTTTTCTTGGCGACGGCACATGGGCCACCAGCTGATAGTTTCCCGTGCGACGCGCCTCCTTGAAATCCATTTGGGACACCGACTTGCGGACCCGAAAGTTGATCAACGAAGCCGTATTTTGGCGTTTGAGGGTCAAGTATGGTGTCAGGGAGCTGGGCTCGCGGGTCAAACTGGCCTTCGGCAACTTGGCCACTGTGTACGTGGACTGCTCCGAACTGCTGGCACTGGTAGCCAGTGAGTTATCCGAGGACGAGGGTGTTAGGAGCCCCGTCTTGGACATTTTGTCCAGCTGCTGCTTATTGATTTCTTTATTGGCAAAGCTACAAAGGTAAAATAGAACCAAAAAAAAAGCTTAAAAGTTGTATATACTTGTACTAAATAAGGTTAAGAATGTTTTTTAATATTTTTTGTATAGATCCTAACTCACCCTATATTTTTCTTGAGATTACGTTGTCCATAGCTATGGCGTTTCTTCAACTGGCTAGCGGTGAGCGTCTTGGAATAAAGAGCCCTGGGAGAAGCCTTCTGCTGGATTGAGGTGAACCCAGATGGATTGTTTTGGCGAATACGTGGACTCTTGGGCCACATATTGTTCTAATTATATAATATTTATCAAACTTGAAAAGGCACTGAGAATGCTGATGCAATTATAACTTTTTTATATTTTGTTCAAAACGTATTGAAGTCAGACACACAACTAAATTGTGATCAGGAAAATATTGGGTAGCTCGAAGTCGAAAAGGAAGCCTACTAAGAAAAAATGTAACTGTTATGGTTTCCATTTTAATCTCTAAGTTTAAACAAGGTTTTTAACACTTATCCACATAATTACACAAGTCCCATTGAAAATTTCCCATTAAACTGTTTACTCTCCAGACGTGGGACACATTTATTTGAAATCTTTTCAATTGGCAAATGACAAATTTGGGACCATCGAATAAACAGCAAGTTCAAAGCGGCGGAGATATCCTGCTGTGCGACTTCCCGCCCTCCTTCCCCTTGGTTCAGCCAGCACATCCGGCCAGGTTCTCACACATCGTAAGTAACTCGATGCGGTGGCAGCATCCGCTTTCTTTCTTTCCCATTTTGCGGCACATTTTTCCCTGGGGCCCAATTTCCGCTAGATTGGGCGCCAAATGTGCGTTCGAATGCCGGTCCCCACCAACTTTGTGTGTTGTGGCTGTGAAAAAGCTCTCTGCCGCCATGAAATTCACCACACTAGGGGCACTTGGAAAAACAAATCTGAATTTATATTAAGAAATACCCATTGATTTAATATAACCATATTTTTTGAAAATTTATTCACTTTTTTAGTGTTTTTCTTTAAAATAATTTATTTATTTTTACATTTAAAAGAAAACATTGGAATAAATATTTAATTTTATTAAGTTTTATTTCATTCTCTTCTGAATTTAAAAATATCCTTAATCTATTTTAATATAATTTATTAAATAATTAAATTATTGGTTTCTAATTCTAATTTTTTCTGAGTGTGCTTGTGCGTGTGCGCAAGCAGCGAAAGCTCTCCCCTAGCTCAGTCGGCGTCGCTGCTTTCGAATGGCCGGCCCTAGGACAACTTTTCCTTCTGTTTTTGTTGTTTTTAATTGTTGGGGTGTGTGGGGTGGTAGTGGGAGGGTGAACGACCACTCTGTGTGGTGGCCAAAAGGCGCTGGCGGCTTCATTAACGTTTCGTCGCTGCTGGCAAACGGTTCTTCGCCTCCGCGGCAACACACCGACTCATTTAGTAGCGAAAATTTTAAAATTTAAAGTTCGAAAAACGTAACGGCAAAATTGAAATTAATTCGAAATTGATCGCCACGCGATTGATTAATTAATTAACATATAAAAGCGAGTGTTAAAAGTGTTTAAATCAATTCGAAATATGCCCACAAAACGGCTAATTAATTAATTTACGTATAAAATCGACTCGTTAAAAGTTTGTGTGTGTGTTGTGTTCCAGTGCGATTACGAAAATTCAAAAACGAACAGTAAAAATCGAAAAAAAGAAAATTCAAAATAAAACACTTTTGAATTATTGGCTGGAAATTCTGATTTAGGTGAGTTCTGGACTCCGGCCATAAATAACGGCAGACCTCAGGCGAAATTACAAAATTCCAATTTGTGTTTGTAAATATATCTGTTGCGTATTCAACGAACTCTCTTCGAGCCTAATAAGCCAGCGAAAGAACATCAATGAAATTGGGTTTCTCCCAGCGGATCAATTAAATATTAAACAGGTGTCTTAATCACCAGCTCTGACGGCGATCTCGATTCGCAGATGCTTACGTCTTGGGGAAAAAGTTACTAATGCACATTAAATCATCCCTTGATCTAACCCATTCGCTAACCAAATTAACGTCACATAGAGAGGGACGACGACGACGCCCCCGGATGACCTGTTTTGTGGCTAAGACTGGAATGCTGCTACGTACTATATCAAAGCCCCATCAAATGACACTGACGTGTTAACTGAATTCAAAGTGACTGCCATCGGCGTGCGCCTTGCTTTCCGAGAATTCGTGTGGCTTATTATATAGAATTGTGTTTAAATCCGTCATTATTCCTGGAAAGTAAATGCATTAATTAAGCAGGGTAAAAAGTGACCAAGTTAACAATTTGCAACTATGACACTTAAATGTGTACTAATAAAGTTCATGGAAAGCATTATGCAGCATTAATTAAAATATAAATTAATTAAATATAAATCAATCAAATGTAATTCAATTGTGTATATAATTATGCTGCTTTGTAAGCCAAATCACAGGGTAAGATAGGGTCAATGCTTTAAATTAAATGAGTTATGATTAATTTATACATACATAAATCATCAGTCCTTTAAAAGAGCACTTAAACTGTTTTATAAGGGAAATATTTTTTGTGTAAGTTCAAGAATTTTTGTATGTTATTCTTTTGGGTCTTGTATCAATACAATTTTTAATATATTCCTCAAAATTGTTCCTCATTTAATAGAGTTTTCTTTGACGAAGAAACTGTTCAAATATATTTTCCTGATATCGTATTGCAATTAGCTCAGCAAACATCATCTACCTACCGAGCTGACCTTTGATCAATTATTCCACATTCCTGCACAGAGAGCAAATGATAATAAAACTGTGCAATATTACTTGCAATTGAGGATTCGGATCCAGTTCCAGTTCTAGAGAATACCAGCCAATAAGAATGAGTCTTAATCCCCGCCCCTGAATTGCATTCACTTGGCGTCGAAAAGTGCTGTGACATTAATTAATTGACATTTGTTTGTGCTGCTCGCGTTGATATTGTTATTGTTATTTTTTATCTGCGGTCTGCCGTTGTTGCTGTTAATGATTTTCTATATGGCAAATGCAAGTCAAAAGCTGTGTCTATCTCCATTTGTGTCTGAGTTACCTGAACTTGCGAAATGATGGAGTCAGTGCCTCCAAGTCTTGGGCATCAGACAACCTTGATATGGTCACTAAAACGAAACGTAAACAAGCGAAAAAAAGTAGAATTTTATATTCTTTTACTTAAAAAAACCGTTAAAAACACTAAGAAAATTTTCAATATATTTTTGTAATAATTTTAGAATGAGCTTAGATGTTAAAATGTCATAAATTTAAATGTTTTAATAGATAGTAAAATATAAAATACTTGACAACAGTTTGTTAAAAACAAATGTATTTAAAGAGATTTTTTATATATTGAAAGAGTTGTTTTCTGTGTAAGAAATGCACCAAAGACCACATCATCCATAACAACACCTCTTTGTTGCATGCGGAACTCCAAATTTTTTTCTCTTTAACTCCACGACTGCAGTTACCAATTATGTAATGTTGCGATGCAAAGTGACTGGAAACTGGAATGGCAGAAACCGAAATTTTCCCACTCTCCCGAGACCAGACTTCATGATCGGCGAGCTCTCCTCTCGGGTCTCTCGGCTTTTCTGCTCTCAGCAGATTTCCGCATGGGCAAACACCCCATGATATAGTGTTGGTATCTTATATGAGCCCCAATTGAACACAATATTGTGTGTTTGGAGAGCCGCTGAAATTGCGGATGTGTGTGAGTGCGTTCGACGGGTGATTCATACATGATTCGGGGAATCCAAAGCCAATCAAGTGCCGTAAACTCAAACCTAAAAAACGTAAAGCGAAAAACCAAGACAAGGCAGACGGACAGGTTTTTGTTTCACCTTCTCGTTTTATTTTAGTATGTCACGCCAAAAGTTTGGCCATTCCCCCAGCTTGTTTTCTTTACGCTCGATTAATTTTATCATTATAAATGAAATCGTATTTCAAAAGGCTTTAAACATCTTTAAAACGTAATTTCTTTGGCTAACTAAATGAATGTGTTTGAAAAAAAATACACAGATAACAAAGAATATTAGTTTTCGATTTTTTACAACTGTTGTCTGAAAAATATAAATTTTGTGAAAATATTTTTTCATTTTTCATAAGATACAAGAGTTTTCAAAATATAATACACTTGCTTTTTAAAGTTCTTTGAAAGCAATATAAAACATCAATAAAAATAAATAAATACATATTTATGAAATATCCAACAAGTGATAAAGATAGTGATTCCCAGAAATAATATATTTTCCTCTGTTTTCCCAACGAAAATTAAATATATACACACAACCTTATTAATTACTTTTTTATCAAAAAACAGTGTAAACGGAAATTAATCTAAAATTTTGGTTTCTTCAAATTTCATTTTATCAACTTCTTAGGAAAATAATATTATTAGAATCCGAGTATACAACTAGCTAAGCATTTAAATAATGGCTCCCAAAGGGGCACTAAAGGGCATCTTAAGTTCGACGCAGTAAAGCGCATTTTTTCAGAACGACCTTTATCATGTTTTTGCTGCTGGGCAAACATTTCGGAGCTGGTTGGTAATTTTTGCTCATCGTGTTATTGATACGCAGCCCCGGCATCCGCTTCCCTTCCCTTATCATCATGATTCCTCCGGCTGAATGTCTTGAATGTTAATGCTTCACCGCGCTCTTTGTTTCGCGCTGCCTCTTTCGAGGGCGTCGGCGACCTTTCGGATCGACTCTATTATTGCAAGAGATATATACACTTAACAAAAATATATGTGTAATGTTAAAGAATTAAAATGAACATAAGGGTGGTTAATTAAAAAATATACTAGAGCAAAAAATCTCCATGTTGCTTAGTAAAGATAAAATGTTCCTAGAAACATAGAATAATTTTGTTTATGGAAGATCACATACAGATTATTTTATTCAGAGGACAACATTATGCTTGGGAATTTCTACACTCTTTTCTAAAAACTAAATGGTAATGATAATGGTATTAATCGATATTTTATTTATTCCCGGCACCTTAATTTGTTCAGTGCCTCAAAACTGGCCTCAAAGTGGCGCTGAAATGAAGAGGAGCAATAAAAGGCAGCAACAACAAGTGGTTGCTCAACTATGCGCTCCACTGTTAAGCCACCCCCCCTGTGCCCCAGGCCAGGCTTTGACTCTTCGCCTCTCGCACTCTCTCTCTCTCTCTCTCTCTGTGTCCCTCTTTCTTTGGGGCTTGGCTTTGTTTGTCTGCATCCAGTGGCGACTCATCCCCTCTCTCTCCCTCTCAGTCGCACTGCGTGAGTGTCCCGCTTACGCGTGTGACCTTGAATGGCACATGTGCCAGAACTGCAGGGGGTTTACGAATGGGGGGGTGGTGCCGGTGAATTGGTCGTTGTGTTTTCGACTCCTTCACAGCCGTCTCTCTTTGGCTGGCTCCCCCTCTCCTTCTTCTTTTGTTTATCAACGCTGTGTCGAGCGGAGAAACAAGCTCCAATAATGAGTTCGTGATTTTGTGACGTAGCGACAGCTGCGATTGCTACGTCATGGGTTGTGGATTGAAAAGGAACAAAAATTTGGAGTAGAAATTGGGTATGCAGCTTACTCATTTTCTATTTATAGTACAGTGTTCCTTCGATCAACAGGAAATCGCTTTCTTTAGGGATACAAAAAATTATAATCTTAAAAATAAAATGAAGTTGTAATGTATTACAGTAAATTTAATTATCAGGGGTGCCATAAATATTGCTTTAATTTATAAGAAAGATTCATTCAAAAAATTAATTAATTACAATAAATGTAATAGGAGATTTAACTTAATATCTTTATTATTACATATAAAGTAAAAGAACTAAATCAGTGAAATGCATAGACGAAAAATATAAATTGTGGGATAGGTAACAATTCAATTCAACCCACAAATATTGATTGAAAAAATCAAAAATCGGAATTAGTTTCTGTTCCTCTATCATTTCCTTTTTCTGGACTTTATTGCCATTGTTTTAATTCCATATAGACATATACTCCCATAAATGTATATGCTAAACTATACTGGCCAATATTATCCCACAGAATGCATTCTGGGGCCCACGCGGTGTGGCTAGTTTGTTTTTATTTCGAAAATCTTTTCGGCCAACAGAAATAAATTGTACAAATATGCATACAGGCGCAACAATATTGAAATATTTTCGTTCGATATGCAATGTTAACTACAAATATTTGCCCCTACGTGTTTGGCCGCCTGCACTTGTGTGTTTATTCAAATGACCAAAAATCTGTCGATGGAACAGAAGCCAAAAATTGAGTTAATAACTCAGTCTGACCTTAAACGAAAGACGTCGAGTCTTTTTTGGTTTATTTTTGGGGGGAATTTCGCTTGCGTGAATTAGCAACGTTATATGGATTTTATAATTTACATTTGCCGAGGGTCAGCGCTAGTTTCAGGTCTGTCAATTCCTGGGAAAATCAATATAGATATTCAGCTGTCAATATCTAACAAATATTTCTTTTGTTATGCATCTGGCAGCACAGATGTGCAAGAATGTAATGTATATTAAAATTTAGATTAAACTCATTAAGCGTCCAAAGTCTGGAAAATTGAATGAATCATTATACTAAATTATTTTTGTGAGATCAGTGCTGATAAATAATTTTCATTGATGACTTGACTTAATGTTTTAAGTTCCAAATTTTAGAATTTTCCAAGCATTATTTTCAAGAAATAGATACTAGCACCTTTTCATGTGAACGAAGTTCATCTGAAATAACATTTGAGGGATTCCATTTTTACGGCATTTCCGATTCATTTATAACAATAACTTTTCTTTACCTGCAAAAAATTCAACTTTTGGGAATCAATGTTTATTTATAGCAAAAAAAAAAATCGAAGATGGGAACACCTGCAGCGTATTATAAAAATCTCAACACTTTGCCAAACCCTCTTAAAAATCTATAACATTTTCTGCGCTTTGTTACGTCATAGGAACGCACTTGAATAGAAAAAGTAAAAAGAAAACAAATCGAAGAATACGCACAACGAAAATCAATAAACAAATGAAACACGCGTACACATATAAAAAATGTTTGATCTTCAAATTATTATTAAATATGACTAACTTTGTTTTTTGGAGAATTTTCTAAGAAAAAATTGATGTTTATTAATAAGTACTATTTTAGCACATTACTTAATTATTATAATAATTAATTAATTAATAATTAGTTTAGTCTAGTTTCTAGTCTAGGCTAAAATAATTTTTATATAGCAACAAATCTGTTAACATTTAACCACTATGAATATCACGCATGAATTTGCTGATCGTGGCCACGTCATATTTTATTTACCAGCAATTTTCCCGTGTGTAAGACATGGGGGGGAAACAAAAATGAAGCAGGCAATCAATGGATGGCTGGAGATGAAAACAAGAGTGGCAGCAGTCAGTAAGGAATGGCCGCAGGCGTAGCGATACTCATATCAGCGGCAGTACAGTTTATCACGTATACGTATCAAGTATACGTACGAGTGCAGCCGAAAGCCCGCGATCTCGGAGAGCAGAGAGCGGACAGCCAAGAGCGGAGAGTGAAGTTCAGTCAAAGTCGAAACCGAAACCGAAGCTCTCCTGCAGTCGAGAGCGAAGCCGAGCGCTCAGAGTCAATCTGAACTTGGCCGCCGACGGACGCGAGTTTCGCTTACCATTATTAAGACGATTTAGTAGATTTAATCGCCTAGCATTTCGCATATTGTGCAAGTCGCACGCGACTATATAGGCGCCTGTGTGTGTGTTGGTTAATTATACGCGACACGACAACTACAAAGTGAACTACAGATGTGTGTATAAATCAATGTCCGCTCCCAACTGCTGCGGCTGCAGTGCCAATCAAAAAATAAATAGAAATAAAAACAGAAACAGAAAAAAAATTAAACAATAAAAATAACTAGCCAAACAGCTACGGCGTTTGCTTTGGCAACTCTTGTTTTTGTTTTTAATTTCTACACAATTTGGCGCGCTGTTTGTGACTAAGCTTTGGGCTTATCGCGCAGACAAACAAAATAAAAGCAAGTGAATAATAAAGTTCAAAATTTAATCAATTACACGTGTCAACCAAACAAAGAGATAATTCGGTTATTGTGTCGCCGCAAAGTGCATTCGAACGGTGCCAAATAAATTGAAAAACATCGTAAATTAAAACTAATAAAATTGTTTTGCAGCAGCATAAACTCCCCTAAAAGGTTAGCAATAACAAATTAACTAAAAACAGATTCAGCAAATCTAAGTCGCAGTTTGTAAAGTCCCCATGTCTATTACCTCACCCCTCTTCAGTCGTCCATATAGACGTGGGCTCAGACAGCTTCCCGTATTAAGTTCGATCGCAGTGACACTGCAAGAAATCAACAACAATTCGCAAATTATAATCCCAGATACATATATGTATAAATCCCTGATAGGGGCAATAAATTATCAGAGTGCCACGTGCAATGCTAATTTCATTTATAAATATTTAAATATTAAACACAGAAGGCGATGGGTTTCGTAAGGGTTTTCGAGTATATCTTGGTGTAAGCAATTATTCCTATTGATATTATTTCTTATCAGGGAACTTATATGATGGAGTTTTTAAAAATAAATGCCTTTGTTATGATTCTTAAATAGTTATATTTTTATTAAGTTTAGTTTGGAACAGAGACGCTACCCACTTATATGTACAATTATTTATATTTAACCCTTCTTGATCCTTTTCTGTAAGTGTAACCGCAGTTTTCCAACCCAACAGTCGTATAATATATGCAAATAAAATCTAATACCATGCAATGCAAGTGGCTGACGGCGATTTAAAAAAAATAATGCTTAGTTGGTATTTATGGGTGAAGTGTTGCTTTCCTGTATGATTTATCAAGATTACAAAAAGCATTTACATACTGGTCCAGAATTCGTACTCCTTCGTACATAACTTATGCCGGAACTGCTCCCCAGAGTATTCATTTCCTCTAGAATTTAATAATATATACATATAAACAGCAAGCATTAAATCTTGCTTATCACAGAAAAGTCTTGCTAATTGCCTTTATTTCCCCTTTTACTTTATATATTAAACAAGTATTTGATGAAAACACCCTTTTTTATATATATACAAAAAATATATAAGCTACATATAATTTTCATTATTTTTCCACTGATAAGTCAATGGGAATTTGTGGTTAGCTTTTATAATTTCCAATCACACATCGAGATCAGGAAGAATTTTCAATTGGGAAGATAAACCACAATGATCAAGATTCCAATATGCGAAGAAAAAACAATTGAAATGCAAATATTTGTATTAACAAAATGTAAATATTTTTACAAGTGAAAAAAAAAGTTTATAAAAATTTGCCACGGCATCTGGAAGATTTCGTTTATTTCATTTGTAATCAAAGGAACACACAACCTGCGGACTGGGAAATGGAACTGCAATCGAAAGACACGAAATGCCGTAAAGTCTTTTAAAGACTTTTCCACACGCAGACACGGATGAACGTTCGGGCGGAACCCATAAAAATAGAATGAAACGGAACAGTCATGGTCAAAACTTACTTAAATATCGATTTATCTGTACGTCCAGAAGCCAGAAGCTATCTAACTCGCATTCATTGGGCCAAAAAGGCAGCGGAATTGTTTTCGGCAATTGTTGAAAGCCCAAAGGCAAAACACAAACAAAATCCACAATTTTCACACCTTTTGGTCCATGTGTGTCTATACTTGCTTACATTCAATATAGAGTCTGAGCCGTGTACATGGCTATAACTTTGCCATTTGCATTAAACAGACTTGTTTCCAAATCAAAACTTATTGTAAATTAATTGCCAACGCCAGAGGGAAGGTCGAGGGTGGCAGTAAAAGTTTCTTTAAGAAACAATTTTGTTTGTTTTGCCATCGATTTCTCCATGAATGATCTTTGTATAGACGGAACATGAAATAAAGAAGAATTTTCTATGTAATTTTAAATTGTTTATAAATATTTTAATTCAACTAAATTGCGTAGTTTATATTTAAAACTCCTTTAATATATTTTTCATCTTATTAAACGCACCATAATATTGTTATGATCACATCCCAGTATAGTAGTAATTATTACTCTTATATTAGTTTTTTTTTTTATAATTTTTTTTAAATCAACTGATTAAGCTGTTAGTCTTATCAGCTAGTGAAAATTCCCAGTGGTCTTGATATTTACGAGTCTTTATTTCGGTTCAGCGGCAATTTCATGCCTTATCTGCTGAACCCAAAAAGTCCCTGATAACCCGAGGAAAATATTTCTTGCATTTCTATTTTCATTTCAATTTTCCTCATATTTCCCATAATTTGATTTTTCCGCATGAACAAAAGCCATCTAGACTTTACATTGATCTGTCATTCACATTAACACCCTCGCACTTCCCCCCGAGAAATCCACCCCAAAAGCATTGAAACTTTTTCCCCAAAACAATTCACACTCCGCACACTTTTTGGAGAACAATGCAAAAGCAGAATCCCATTACGCATTCGCCATGTTGGACAGACTTTGAATTGATTGAATCGTGAAAAGTTTTATAGCAAAATAATTAAATGCTGTGGTTTCTTCAATTTTCGGGCATCGCGTGTCGGCCGCTGTTTCGCTTTTCCATTAGATGTGTGTGTGTGTGTTAGCGTTTTGTCTTGGCCATTAGAATGGAAATTGCTCAAACGCTTCGCTTCTCTGGCTGCTTTTCCGGGCCCCCGTCTGCCATGCTTTTTTTTTGGGCTATTCTGGTGTGGTGTGGTGCGGTCTGGTCTGGTTCGGCATTCTGGGAATGCTTTACTCGGTTACTCGGGCATTATTTACTTGACTGCAAAAATGCCTCCTTTGATTTGCTTGAAAGGCCATGAAAATCGATTGGCTGTATAATTTAACTTTGGCCGCCTTTTTGCCCTCTGGCGTTGTAATGATGTGATGCGCGACGCTGAGCCGAGCCAAATGTAACCGGAAAATGTTGGCGAATTAATTGCTTTTTAATTAGTTGGGCCCTAAACACCTTTTCAGGTGGCATGTCGGGTAAAATGTTAAGGAATATAATATGTACATGCGAGCAGAAAAAGGGGAAATCCATCCAGAGTAAAAAAATATAAAAGTGTAAATTCTCTTCAATGAACGTTAAGATTTTTAGCAGTTTATTATATATTATTTATAGCAACTAATTCATTGGCTAAATGTACATATGTCGAATGTAATAATTTGAGTCACAAAGTATAGAAAAAAACAAACAACCCAACACATGGAGGGGTTATCTTTGTGACAGAAAGTCTACTCCTCCTTGCCTAATCTCTCTAACTTGCTCTTGTTTCCCTCCTAATTAGCTGGGGAAGTCTTTGTGTGGGATTACCCATTGATAGGCGTGTGGAAAACCTTATCAAAAGCAGCTTAGCCGGCAAGAGCTAAGAGTATTGTTCACTGAGGGCACGTGCCCCGCAGCGAATGGAAATCCATTTGAGCTGCTGTCTGAACAAATTAAATAACCATCTTCTGTATGAAAATGTTCAGGCAATCAGCACAGAAAATATAACCTTTTACTTCCAGTAGGGGAAAAGCGCAAATAACGGATGATTGAATTACGAACGAAACAATGAAAATGAGGGAAAAGTAAAAAGGAAATTAATAAATAAGAAACTTTTAGTAGCTTATTAAATGTTTCTAATTAGGTTCTTAGCTGATAAATATTTTTTTTATTAAAAAATGTTAAAAGAAGAGTCAAATTAGCATGTGAAATGTATTTTAACTGCTTAAAAGTGTCTTGAAAAATTATTTCAAAAATACCCAATAACCTTCCACGAATCAACATCATCAAATGGTGTTCATATATTAAATCACACATTTTAAAATTTAACTTAACAGATGGGTATAAGTGCAATAAAAATAGCCTCGGCCAGCAGAACGTTTTTGTTTGTGTTAGCAACAAATTCAATCGATTGTGACCTCAGCCAACTTCGGATCGGAGGAGTAAACAAACATTAGTTATTTATATATGTATGCAGTGCATATATATATAGCATAGTAGAAAGCCAAATGGATTTCCTGCAAATGACAGCGGGGCATGGCCTGTCGAAGGACACTGTCAAAGAACTAGAGGAAAATCATAATTTTCAGCGCTTATTGATTTTCCCCGCTGCCGACAAGAATAATTCCTCGCCTAAGACGATTTCTGGCTCTTTTTTTTACTTTTCGGTGACAGGCGAAATTGGTACGGAAAAACTTTTTATTTGAATTTAATTTTTGTAGACGCATACACATACGCCAACAGGATATAATGCAGGGCACTCGGCACCCAAGCTAGGACACTCAGAGGACCTGTCACGCACTCGCTTATACACATACATACATACATATGAGGGCTTAAGCACTTGAGGTGCCAATGGAAAAAGGAGGAGGCAAGGATCGGTGGGGGACGGCAGGCAGTTGTCTGTGTTTGATGTAGCACCGACCCTGGGAGTGTGTGTGACTGAGTGTGATTAGGCCATCACAGAGTGAGAGCATTTTGGGCTTCTAGCCATTCCGGCTTTCATATTCTGCACTGCAAAAAAAAAAGCAATTAAATTGGGTTTAAATTAAGTTGTAAGTAAAACTAAGTGTTCTACCGCTTAGACTTTTGAAAATAAGTCTTACTTTGATATCAACCCAAGAAAACTAGAAAGTATGAAAGTAATTCAGAATTCAATTGAGATTTTATCCTAAAAATAGAGGATAATCCAGCACATTAATAGTTATGACTTGTTCTTTTTAAAATTCCTACAATTTTAAGATTTAATTTGGCAATTAAAAATTCTAAGGAAGATGATTTCTTTTATCATAATTTTGTTCGTAAATTTGAGCCTTTTTATACCGAACTCCATGTAGTTTTCTTTAGTTGCTGTCACATGATCCTTTTAACTAATTATTATTATTTTTTTTAAGTGCACTCATACTCCACCTTCACATGCCCACTCCAATCCATTACTCTCTTCTATTTAGCAGTGTGTTTATTTTCGGTTCAGAACGCGATTTTCCAATCGATTGAGCACGTGACAAGGTTCTAGCTACTGAAATATGTATGTAAGGCACACACACGTTCGGCAAGACTCTCCCTTGATGCAAAAAAAAAAAAAAGGACCGGCGTAATTCGAAACCCACAATTTTCTGGCTCGACGTCCATCCCCAGTCCGGATATCTCTTCATTCGCAATGCCATCTATTTTTGACAATATTTAATTAACTTTTTTTCTCTCTCTTACCTAACTCACTTTTTATTCTGTGGGCGACATCCTTTTTGTTTGCTTTATTTATGCATCAATTTGTAGCTCTGATTTATGTCGCCAGAATTTTTCCATCCCTTCATCCTCCATCCCCAAAAAACGGAGGACTAAATGCGAATTAAATTGGAGCGTGGTGTTTTTTCTTTTTCGAGAGTTGGTAGCCCGGCCTGTCTTAAAGTATTATTCAACTTAAGGAGCTCCTTCAGCGGGGAAGTTACTCGGGGCTAGATGGTGGGAGCAGGACCTCCTAGTCCACAAGGAGTGGCAGAGGGAGATGAACCACGCAATTACGCGTTTTAGAAAAAAAAAAAAAGAAAGCTCTTTGCGTTCCGCCCAGGCGCTTAAGAAAATCTAAAAAATTAAACGGAAAGGCAGGAGAAATGCGAATGGAATATTGATATTTTAATGGAAACTTTTAAATTAAAAAAAGGAATATAAGAGACAAGTCTAGTTTAAGAATTCTCTTTGAGTAAATAACATTGTGAACATTAAAAATTCAAGCTGCAAGCTTTTATTTCTGTTGGTATAAAAATATAAATTGAGTTTAAAAATAGAAAAAGGTTGGACCTTTGTCTTAAATTCTATTTATAATTTCTCCTTTGTTTCTTCTATTCTTAAATTTATAATATCAATGTTAAAGGTTCTAGTTGGCTTCAAATAGAGTTATTTCTTCAGCTCAATTCCCTCAAAAAGGCTAATTAACACACTTAAAGTTCTATAATTGTATAATTTGTTCACATCCTAAAATACTTACACAGGCGGCTCAAATTCCAAAAGGATTTCAACCAATTAGTTGGCTCATTAGTCTCGTATGCTATTTAAGGAACCTCTGGCCCACGGAAACCTCTCAATTGTGGAATGTAATTTAAGGATTTCAAGAGGAGTTTACTTACATAAATGCCTGTCACTTGTATAATCAAATATAAACTGATTAAGTTATAAGCATTTAAATGCTTATTTTTCCTTAACTTGGTTACATATATGACTTAACTTCTAAGGCACTTCCAGTGCCTGTCTCTGGCAGACACAGTGTGGTAGAAGTTTTCCTTTATACTGTGTGTATATTACACTTGAGTTACTTTATTATTTATGCCCATGAGCAGGACAACCGATATGGTGTGTGAGGTGTGGCTCCACTTTTTGTGACCCCTTTGCATAAAAATTTAAACGATGCCGCAGAAAATGACCCCCCTCTTTCACATCGCCAGGATATCCTTAATGCCGGTCGTGTGCGAGTGGGTGTACACACCGGGTTGGTGTGTGTAATTCTGTGTGTAAGAGAGATTAGCGGGTTAAGGGAAAGCGAAGCTGCTGTCAGAGGCAGTTAAGCAGCAGCTAGCGAAATCTACTTAAAAGTTTCCTGATGTCATTGCACCCCCCTGTCGTCTGTCGTCAATGGTCCCTGGTGCACTCGGAAAAAATTGAATATTTCATTAAAAAAAAAGTTCTTATTAAATTTATTAATTTAATAAAATAAATATATTTTTTAATATATTTATTTATTTAAAGTTATCAGGCGTATGTATTAATATTAAAAAATATAAAAATAATAAGTGAGCCAAACCCAAATTAATTATTAATATTTTACTTGCATTTACGATATGCACATTACGTATACGACATGTTGCGCTCTGCCGTTCAGAAACCCAATAACAAAGCTAAGCTTTAATAGTTTCCAGATCATTGAAAGATACAGCATTTCTATATTTAGAATTATTACGAATTTGAAGAGACCGTAACAAGTTAATCTATTTTCTTATGATAACTTAATCATTTTTTATAAGTAATTGCATTTTAAAATAGTTTTTATTCGAGTGCTTCTACTGTTGCTGCTTCCACGACCCACATTCGCTTATTACACAGCTCAGATGTTCGACACACGTGAAAGGGGGTTCTTTTAAGGGAGGAGAGTATGGTGCCATAAAGCGTCATGTGGTTCGTAAACAAAACCGTAGGATATGTGTCTTCGCCGTGCGCCTGTAAGCGGGTGTGGTGTGAATTGCAAAAAAAAAAAAAAATACAAAAAACAGAAAAAAAAAGAAAAAAACAATGGCAACAACTACAACAAAAGGCAAATCCAGTGGCGGACAAATTGTTTTTGCAAGGCTATAAATGTAAACAAAATTAACATATGCAAATTTCTCAAGCCCCCACGTGTGTGCGAATGTCTTTCTGCAAGCGTACGTGTAAGTGTTGGTGGCAGATACACTGAGAAATATATTCCAGCGAGTTACATATGATTATTAAAAAAAGGTTGTACGGTTTTTAAGATTTTTAAATTCAGTTTGGGATAAAATTAGTGTAACAAAGTCTTTAAAATTGCCAGTAAGTTCTAAGATAAGTAAATTTGTTAATAATTTTTCAAATAATTATGGTAGCTAATTATTTATCTATTAGTATAATAATTAGTATAATAATTATTATTATAATAAATTATGAAAATAAATTACTCGACATTTTTAAAAAGATTTAAATATCTCCAAAGATAACACTTTAATAAATTACGTTCAGTTATTATTTCAAAATCTATCTATCCCACTTATTTCTCTGTGTATTTACTTGTGTGTTTTTTGAGAGCTCGACGCCAACATTTGGCATTTAGACAAATAGGCTGTCTGAGGCGTTGACTTCTTGCTGGATTTTATCTCTCAGTGCGTCTCCGTGTGTGTGTGTGTGTGTGTGTGCTCTCCTTCTTTTGTTGAAAAGTTGAGTTATGTGCAGAAAATGCAAAATAATCTTGGCATATTGCTGGCTGCAGTTGCGGAAAAGAGACAAAAGTCAAGGAAAATGGAGGAAAATTTGGAGCAAGTAGGGTGGAGAGTGACTTGTTTGGCCTTTTTATGGGCTACGACTATTAAATACACATTATACCGACAATGTTATTATCCCATATACAAGCGAATAACAATGATAACCTTGATCGATGCGGCAGTAGCCGGTATTTGAGCGCTTACATAACACGATAAAGAAACAAGACTTTGGGCCCAAAGGAACTCGTTAAGAGTTCAAGCCATATGTTTTCAGGGAAATAAAGAAAATATGCTTACGAGGCTTTGAACAAATATTTATGGCAGTTTATCAATTTTTAATGCCATTAAAAAACAAAAATAAACAGATTTAAAATGCTGAGGATGTTAAAGAAACAATTTGCTGAGGATTAGGAATTTGTGGCCAAGATTTATTTACTTCTACGGATTTTATTTATTTGACTACTTCTATTTTTCAATTATAGAAAATATATTATAGTCTTTAGTAAGCAAATAGGAACTTGAAAAATAATCTTAGAAAATTCATCAACAAAGACTTTTAATATTTTTATTAAATGTAAATATAACTAAACTGTTAAAAGTATTAACAGAATTATGCATGTAAATACTTATAAATGCCCTTAAATAGATTTTTTTTTAATTTTCCTGGAAGTCAAAGTGTATAGTTTGGTGATAAGCCTGTCACCAAGGCGGCATTCAACGACATAGTCAGAGATTCCCCAGAAACACCTTTTTTTGATTATCGCCAAACTAGGACAGATTTCGTTATCAGTAGAACCATTTTTGGGAAATAAAAAATCACAAAGATAATGAAACACCTTGACCGATGAATATGGGTATTCCTACTTTATAAATCAGTTCATGATTTCGGTTCAAATATCCCAATGTACTTTATACTATTGCGAAATGTTTGGGAGTTTACCAAGCACCATAAACTTAAGGCTAATAAAAAGTACTTAGTAGTCTAAGTGGAGCCGAGCGGAACTAAGATTATGGAACTGGATTTTTTCCCAATTTAACTGATTAGAATTATACGTATTTGATTGTTCAGATAATGGAATTAGAGTAAATTTCTTTATTATTATTAATTATATTAGAATTGCTCTATTTATTTATATGACAGAGCCACTTAAAAATGATCTTTAAAATGTAAAATATTACAAAATTCTCAATGATTGTAATCAATTTCCAAAGTACTTGAAACAATTTATATTCCTTTATGTGAACAATTCAAAACAATCGATGATGGAAGACGTCAAACTGAAGAAAAACACAATCAATTTAAACTGTCTGGGCACGGGCTAAAAACAATATAAGAACCGAAAAATGGCTAATCTATCATTAAATACATTTGCCATACATGCTAGCAGAATGTTAATGACAATCTATCATTGCTTTAATTTGCAGGCAATCAACAGTGAAATCCAATGGCTGAGGAGGAGTATTTGGGCGATTTAGGTACGTATAAACAGTCATAAATTTATGGCACATACTAGCCCTAATTAATATAAACATAACCCCAGAGCATACCCACTGCTCCATGAACACAAGATCCCTGCTCGGGTTAATAAATAATCTGTGGCCATAAGTCAATCGACAATGCGCTTAATTAGGCCACGCAAAGGCATCAGATTTGTGGGGAATTTTTAGTGGCTAATTGAACATTGTTATTGCTGCTGCCATCCGAAGTCAGTGGCAGAAAAAAAGAGGAATATATATCGTAGCAAAGTGGCATAATAAGTCTGGCAAATTGATGCCCAACTTTTGACGTCATCGTACTAGTCGACATCTGGCAATAGCAAAGTCCAAATGGAATAGATGGAGGAAGCCTTCTAGCACTCACCCTTTTGGCTAAAACAATCGCAAAGCCAATGCCTTTCATATATGTATGTACGCACAGTAGTTAGCGCGTATCTGATGGATACCAAATTATCCACGCACACGCAGTCTTTGATTTCCGTTTCGCAGGCTAAAATTAGTAAATTGTATTGAATATGAATATACCTTAATATTGTTTAATAATCTGCCTTCTGTGAAAATTGAATTCAATTCTTTTTCTTAATATTTTCATAAAATATGAATATGAATATCAATTTCAATTTCAATTCATCAATTTCTTTGGAAGTTCAACTCCATCGGTGGATATTGAACGTTTTCTTTCCTATCTTCCATTTTGGGCTTCCCCTTTTTGCCGTAACCTAAGCTAAATTGTTTCTGACACTCTGACTTATTGATTTTTGCGTAATACTCACCTTTCTTTTTGCCCCATGCCAACCCTAGAGGAGATTATCAATGCCAGCATGGGGGTGAACGGAGGCGCCACAGGAGGAGGTGGAGGCGGAGGACATCACATACTATCGCAGTCGACTTCGTTGCCGGTGATGCCGTCGCACCTGCCGCTTCACTTGCTGAATCAGAACCAGAACCAGGCGCCGCCGCCAAAGCCAAGTGCCAAGAGTGGACCCCACCTGCGCATCGTGGAGGAGCCAACGAACAACATAATCCGATTTCGCTATAAATGCGAGGGCCGCACCGCGGGCTCCATACCCGGCATGAACTCGAATTCCGAGAACGGCAAGACCTTTCCCACCATCGAGGTGTGCAACTATGATGGTCCCGTTGTCATTGTGGTGTCCTGCGTGACCAGCGACGAGCCCTACCGCCAGCACCCTCACTGGCTGGTCAGCAAGGAGGAGGCGGATGCCTGCAAGTCGGGCGTCTACTCCAAGCGCCTGCCGCCCGAGGAGCGGCGTCTGGTGCTCCAGAAAGTGGGCATTCAGTGTGCCAAGAAGCTGGAAATGCGCGACTCGCTACTGGAGAGGGAGCGCAAGAACGTGGATCCCTTTGGGGGTGAGTATCTTCTCCTTCTAATGAATCCCTGCTATATATAAGATTCCCTCATAATAATCCTTTCCCTTATCCTTCTAGCCAAATTCGATCACAAAGATCAGATCGACAAGATCAACAGGTACGAGCTGCGATTGTGCTACCAGGCCTTCATCACAGTGGGACATACACGGGTGGCCCTGGATCCCATTGTCTCCTCGCCCATCTACGGCAAGAGTAACGAGCTAACCATCACTCGGCTATGTAGCTGCTCGGCACCGGTCACCGGGGGCAACGAGATTATCATGCTGTGCGAGAGGATAGGCAAGGATGACATCGAGGTAAGGTTCTACGAGACGGACGCGGACGGTCGGGAAACGTGGCACGCCAATGCCGAGTTCCTGCCGACGGATGTCTTCAAGCAAATGGCCATTGCCTTCAAGACGCCGCGCTACAGAAATCCCGAGATCACACAGAGCGTACATGTGAGTGAATAGCTCGGTACTTCTGTACGGGGATAATCAAGACCCTCTTCCCTTGCAGGTGGAGCTAAAACTGGTGCGACCCTCGGATGGAGCGACGAGTGCCCCGCTGAAGTTCGAGTACTATCCGAATCCAGGTACGGTAACCTTTGCCCGGCTGCAGCGCAAGCTGAAGCGCCGCCAGGAGCTGGACGTGTTCCAGCAGATCCTCTCCCTTGACAGCGAATCCGCCACAAAGTACTCGTGTCCGCCGCTGGACTTGGAGGAGGAGAACAACACGGTGTCGTCGGACGACCAGCAGAGTTCTGGAACGCTCAACGAGTTCGAGATAATGGTAAAGAAGCTGCAGATGCAGCAGCGGGGCGAGTCCCACGAAATGGACGGCGGGACCGTCACCGAGTATACGGATAACGATAACGAGCCTGACATGGAGATCGAGCTGGAGGTGCCGCAGTTACTGCCCCAACTGGCGGACGACTGCACCCAGACATCCACGCCCATGGAGGAGATACTGCAGCATCCCCAGCTGCAATCGCGTCCGCTGACCAATGTGGACAAGATCACCGAGTGGATGAAGAGCAGCGAGTTTGAGCGAACGGATAGCTTGACCGTGGAGAACGGAGACACCCAATCCCTTTCGAATAGCACCGCTCAGACAGCCTTCACCAATGTCAGCAGCCTGACGGCCAATACGACCATAACGAATCAATTGGAGGAAGAGGCCCATCTGGCCAATGGCTCCCGCAGGGATACTCTCGAAAATCCCGCAGTGAAGGAGCTGCCGGAGGCCGACAAGGAGCCAGAAATGGTGACGGCCAGTGCCCAGGCCTCCGTGGATCTGGACGAGAACTTCGATGAGACCGCCACCTACACGAGCCTTCAGATAGCTTTCAACAATCCCATAGACATAGCAGCTCCCAAGGAGAGCAGGCAGGGCGGTGGTATACCGATGTATCCACCCACCAATCCATTTGGTTCCCTGGATGATGCCGAATTGGTGGTTCTTACGAATCCACCGGCACCCAGAATTAAAGTGAATGCCGCCCAGACCCCAGCCACGCCACCAGACTCTCCGCCCCTGCCGCTGCCACCGCGTACACCTTCGCCAGATCCTGAGCACAGATTGCCACCGCTGCCTCCAAAGCCACAGAGAAATTCCCAAGATCTGAGCATTGTCAGTGACTCCATCTCGATAAACCGCTCCCGAAACGGCAGCCTTAGCTCCGCCAGAACCACACCCTCGCCCATTATCATAATGCGAACCCCCGATCAGAGTCCCACCAAAAGGCAGCCCACGCCAAGCGAGTCGCCCAAGAAGCGCCAGGGATTCTTCTCCCGATTCTTTTCCCGACGCAAGAGTAGGGCCGAGGACGATGAGTCCCTGACACCGGGTGCCAGTCCCAGCAAGCAGGTATCCGGCAGATCGAAAGCCACCACACCCACCGGCAGCCGGGAGCCCAGTGTGGCACATTTTTCCCTCGGCGATCCCAATCGCAGTTCCACGAAGTCCATGCAACCGCTGGGCAAGAGCGAGGGCCGAAACGGCAAGCCAGTGGGTCGTAGCTCAAGCAGTGTGTCCGGCAAGAGGCCAGCACACCTGGACGCGGATGTGATTCACATTCCGTTGAAGGGTGGCGACAGCGAGAACAGCTTGCTCCGCCCGGAGAGCTACTCGAATGCCAGCACCCTGAGCTACGGACGGCCGCTGGACCGGAAGACGCTCAGCACCCTGCAATTGGCGGATATTCCCATCAGTGACGGCAACATGGAACTGGTGGCCATTGCCGACCGTCAGAGCATCCGGAATTTGTGCGAAGGCGCCTATGGTGTGGTTCTGGATCCCAGTGTGGATCTTTCCGAGGCCGAGCACTTTGCGCTGTACACCAGCAAAAGTCCGGAGCCACCGTTTGGTGGCGAGCTGGGCGGAGATGGCGGAGGAGCAAGTGGCGGCGGCGATGGGGCGGAAGCAACTGATTTCCTTAGCGCAGATGAAATTGCTCGGCGGCTGGCGGAAGCCAATGGATTGCAGTAGAGAACGGGGTTAAGTGGTAACTGATTTGTGGTTGGAAAGTATAAATGTAAACCATTAAATGCATTTATCTAGAGCAGCAAAATTGAATAACCTTTTCCTAAAGAGTTTCGTTTTAATTTTGAGATGCATTTAAAGGTTTTTATCCACAAAATGAAATCAGTTACCCTGAGCTCCAAGCACTAGCTAGTTTAATCTTTACAAAAAAGCACACAACTATACAAAACAAATATCTTTTCTAGTCGTCTTTTCTCTCTTTCAGTATTAATTACCAAATATAATGCTTACACACAAATTATCTTCTAGCTTAGAAATACCTGAGAGATATCTCACCGAAACAGAAAACAAGGAAAATTCGTTTCTAATCACACAAACCACCTCCGAATGTCTTTTTAGAAACCCTCACCCAGCACAATCGTTCGGAGACCCGCAAAGCGGTTGAAAGCCTTAAACGCAGTCTCATGAGCACCGATTTCTATCCAACCAAGCACGCGAAAACGTCCAGTAAGTCCTTGAGAATATTCCGCATTTATTACTGGTGCTGGGAATGGGTTCCGGTTACAAGTAGTTCCTAGAAATCAAAATACACACATCCGCCCCACACATAACATAGTATTCATTTTTCAATTATCATTAAGAGGTAGCGAGAATTGATTCACTATTTATATATATTTGCAAACATATAGAACAGGAGTTTATATATGTACCTTGTGGACCAAATGGGGTACAAATGTTGTCCCAAACCCCACCCCAGGAATTGTTGGAAGTCGTAGAAATGAAGCTATTATGGCTTATTTAGGGAACAGTTTGTTGAGCGCCGTTTCGAATTGAAAGTTTTAGTGTTCTACACATTCTTGATGTATTGACAAAAAATTATGAATAAAGGAATTTTCAATAAAAAATCTTTGGAATTTACTAGAGAAAAGTAAAACTTGTAAAAGTTCTTAGTTTTTGTGAAAACTTTATATTTATTTTGATTTTTGAAAATTAGTTTAAATATCCTTGCTGTTTTAAATGCAATGTAAATATAAATATTTTAGATTCTCCGCGTAAATAGGATTAAAATTATTAACAATCTTGAAAATATAACCCTTAAATAGGAATGTATGTCCAAAGAAGTCCTAGGATATTATTTATAATTAAATATCCAAAAAAAGTTATAAAATTTATCTGTCCGATATATAAAACAGAATATAAATGTTAACTTTTTTCTCTTCCTTATTTTCCTTGAGCTTATAATGAATTTCCCAAACTTTTCAACTGATAATCAAAACTCAAAGTTTGGCCTAAATTAACTGCAAGGATATTTAAACCCTCGGACCTCCGAGGACTCCCTTCCCCTCTGTATTTTGTCTAGTTTCCCTCCAAAGCTCCATATTACTTACGTAGCCACCAAAGTTGGACATCAAATGAGAGTAAGTTGATATTGCCTGGCCTACAGCGGCAAAGTTGATGTTGTGGTTTCCGTTGTCCTTTTTGAGTTTTTGCAAATTGCTTTAGTTTCACCTCAGTTTCGCCGCAATTATGTAAATTATATATATTTTTTTGTGGTCTGTAACCTTTCGTTCATTAACCTTTCGTTACGTTTTCGTTGTCATTGTAACCATATGGCTCTAACGAGGTTGTGTTTCTATTTTTTTAGGCCCATTTGCCACAGTTCAACCGCCACAAATGGCGACCACAACAGCACCGCAGACGCAGCTATCGCCGGGCATGACCATGATGTATCCCGGCGGTGGCAGTCCACACTTTATGCAAGAGATTAAGGTGGAGCAGGCCTTCATGGATGTGGACAGCCGGAGTAGCCACTGTCCCTCGGTGGACTATAATTTTCCATCGCCGCGTTCCAACAGCACGGTGGACAGCATTCCACCCATGCAGCTCGGCCAGAACAATAACCATCTGTATCTGCCGGATGCCTCAAACTTTCCCACAAATCCTGGCAACAGTCCGTCGCGATTCAATGGTGGCACCATGACGCCAATAAATAACAACAATAATGGCAACAACAGCAACATGATGATGAATAACAATAATAATAATAACAATGGCTTTGTCAGCCTCAAATTGAATGCCATCAACAACTCACCGACTCAGGACATGAAGCAAGTATTCCAGCAGCCGCAGCAGTACCTGCCTCAAGAGCAGCACCAATATCTGCCACAATCCCAGCCACAACAGATCCAGTACCCGCAGCAACAGCAACAGCAGCAGCAGCAACATCACACAGATGGCCAACAGCAATCGTTCAGCGATCTGATCCTGTCCAGCACATTAATGGATCTCGGACCCATTGACACCAACGAGCTAATCCAAGGCATTGACGAAACACTCAGCAGCTTGGGGCTGACAGGAGGAGCTATCGGTGGAGCCGCCCAAATGAACAACAACTTTGCCAATTACTAAATGTACGCGTTTACATATATTTTATTCATAAATATACCAGAAGATTAACAAAAGTAGAGTTATGCAAGGACATGCTTTATAATAACTCTACTTTGCCACACATTGTACATAGATATTTTGGCTAGATAGCGTATAGAAGAGGGTCATGCGAATCTCATTGCCCCGATGCCTTGTTACGACTTTTCTTGTTATGTGAAAGGAGTGAATCCGTAATTATAATAAAGTATCACTTAAGATTTTACATGGTTTATATGTGCTTTGTGATGGGGGGAATGTGTGGCTGAAACCAGGGATCGTATATATTCAATCGACAAGCAAAAACTGAAGGATTCTGTTTTAAAATTTTGAATTTTCATGATTTTCTTCACCTTTAATGCTAAATTTATGTTTCATATGATTTCTTTTGGCTCAATAGTTATGATGAATTATGAATTATCCCTTAAATCTTATCTTTAAAGGTCAGAAAACTCATAATATTCGATCCCTGGTTCATAATACTCAAGACAGTTTTTTTAGCGACAAAAATATGGTTGGCCCAGCTGGCCATTATTCTCATTGCGCATGCCGGCAAAGAAGCGATTGATGTCCTCCTCGGTCACCACCTTCTTGCTGGCGGCGAATGACTGCAAATATTCCTTTAGCTTGTCCTTCATGCGATTGTATTCGGTAATCGCATCGATTTGCTGTGTCCGGTCGATGGAGGCCAATGCCCGGATGCCCTGCTCATAGCTGGAATTCTCCTCTGCACGCTTCATGCCGCGCTCCTCGTACGTCTTGGCCGAGTCCTCGGTGTCCAGCAGAAACTCCACGCCAAGCTCCTTGTAGAGCGGCAGGCATTCAGAGCACTGGCAAAGCGATTTGCGCCAGTCATTAGTCCAGAAAGCGGCTCCTTGATAGAGAAAAGAAGGGGGAACACAAGAAATGATTAAAAGGGTCATTGGCATTTGAGGTCAAACTCCTTTCGAAAGGAGTTGATTTGATTAATTGCTCAATTTTTAGGTGCTTTGTTTGATACTAGAAATGTAGGCTAAGCATGCTATTTTATGGCAATAAATGTTATTTAAAGCTCAACCTAAGTAGTTCAGATTTTCCTTTCAAAAATATTCCCAGCTTTAAGCAAACGCAATTGTTACTCTCTCACACAAAACATTTAAATTACTAATAAAGGCTGCATCATGAATCTGGAGTACTTCAGCGAGGGCCTCGACTACCTGATGTACTGCGGCATGAAGCTTTCGCCGGAGCAGCGCATCCTGATTGAGAACTCACTGATCGCCTTGCAGAATGACAATCGCTTCTCGGGCATGTATTTGTGGGGTCGCATTACGGCCACCAAAAATGATTACTATATTGCTTTTGGCTTTACCAACGATTGCTTGAAGGATCGCAAGTACTTTTACAGTCTGGATCAGTTTCAGTGGCAACTATTGCCCTTTGTCCAAAGCCCCAATATATTTCAGGCAACAATATTGGCCAGGGAGCCATTTATAGGGGATCCCAGCATACAGACCTATGTTAAGTTGGTGAGTTAGCTTTTAAACTATATAAAATATTTCAATAAATAACAATGGCTTGCAGGATCCCACTTTTAATATCGTAGGCAACCAAGTGGCAGGCATCGGTTGCCCTGAAGTGGTCAAGCTCAAGGAGGAGGAACGCCTGGCGGCCATAGTATTTATAATCACCGAAGAATGCGCCATTTGTCCCCGTGGAGCCTTCTACAAGATGACCGATGGCCGCGTGATACCCAACCAGATGTTTAGAGGCCTAAACAACCTGCAGATAGATAACCAGTCTTATTACCAGCTGTTCCGTCTGCCCCGCAATGATCTCAAAGTGAATTTGGCCAAGAGGAGCGACTATAACTATGCTATTGACTTTCTGGACACCATTGACTGCGTCATTCCGCTGGGCCAGGCCTTTGCCTTGAATTTGCAAAAAAACGAACGACTGGTGGTGATCAAGTCCTGCCTTTGGATGGGCATGACCTTCTTTCACAAGATTGACTCCCATAAGCATGGATTCCTCTACTTGGGAGATGGCAAAAAGAACTTTGATTTGCTTTTCATGTATTAACTTTGACAATTGATTAATAATTATGATTATTTCCTGCATTTACTCGAGTTTAACATGGGAAAAATATATAAAATGCTCACCCTGGTGCTCCTTGAGAGGCTTGGGACGACTGCAATTGTCCAACTTGGGACGCTTCTGGCTAGGTTCGCCCTCGTCGGCTGCTGCTGCATTGCCTTCCTCCTCCGAAACCTTCATTATATCGCTGATGCTGCGATCTAGATCGGACTTTAGTTGGCCTTCATCCTGCTTTGGCTTTGAGTCCTCCTGGGGCTTCTGCTCCTCCTCCACTGGCTGCAAGGCCAATCCGGTATAGTCCTTTAGGAATGGTACAGCATCCATGCAGCCGTCGCATATCATTTCGCTGCATGCGTCCAGCCACTTCTCGCTGGAGCCCGGTGCCTTCATGTGCGGCAGATGGTACCAGTCCTCGCAGATGGCGCACTGAAGCATCACCTCTTCGACGGTGCGTTCGGGATCGGGATACGGACGCTTGCAGCGACAGTAGAGGCCCTGGAAATTCTGGTTGTACAGATTCCCCTTATTCACGTCCTGGGCGCCTGTCAGTTGCGGATTCAGGACGCACTTGCCCAGCTTGCTCGTGGGGCAGTCGCAGCGAAAGTTCCGCTTTGTATAGAGCTCCACCAGTTCGTGGTTCTCGTGGCAGCGGTAGGAACAGGCCAGGCAGCAGCCGGCGGCTTTGGACAGGTCAGTGCGTGCCTCCGGGCAGCAGGTGAGGCAGGAGTACAAGGCCTGCCGGCCGATGGGTCCCTTGGCGTAGGTGCAGGACTTCTCGTCGGAGGCGCCCAGCACCGCAGCGTACTCGTCCTCCAGTTCCTTCTCCTGCTCGAGCACGTCCACCATAGTGATGGTCGATTGCTCCAGCGGATTTCCATCCTCGCCCTCTGGGGCGGCTACACTTGCATTTAACTCGCTCATCTCACCGGTGGTCGGATCAAAATGGAGTCCAGCTGTTGGGCAAAGGTCTCAATTCCGGGGAAGCCAAGGAATGCACAATGTTTGGCGCGATTTGGACGCGGACGAAAATTGCAAATAATTGGAAATAGTGTGACCGTCTCCCAGGCGGAGGCAATATACCACAGGACTCTCAAAAATACTATGCAATACGAAAATACCAAACTGCGTTTTTAAATTAGCTAGATTTGTTAAAGCTAAATCTACAGGGAAAAATATAATTTAATTTTAAAGTCTATTATATAGACAATGTATTCTTTAAAGAAGAATTAACTAGTGTTTAATTAATTAGGGTCATAATCTTATAATTTCATTTCATTTAAACAAATCTATACAAAATCTTAGCTAAAAAACCGCCATATTTAGTCTAAAATAGCTATCAGATTCGTTTTATTCGTTTTCCAACACTAAAACAGCGAATTTTCTGGCGTGCGGCTGATTTTTATAAACAATTGCAATTTTCTCAAAATATTAACTAAATAAACCTTAAACAATGAATGCGCCACCAACCTTCGAATCGTTCCTGCTGTACGAAGGCGAGAAGAAGTGAGTAAACCAATATTATTCCCCAAAATAGACACCTGTAACCCAATTTCCTTCTCGTCTTGGCGCGGTGGCAGAATCATCAAAGAATTGGACACAAAAGTAACAAATGCGGCTATATTTACGATAAACAAAGAGGATCACACTCTGGGCAACATGATCCGCAAGTAAGTCGGTTAATTAATAACCATATTTAAGGAAATAACTCTCTTTTGCCCTTGCAGCCAACTGTTGAAGGATCCCAATGTTTTGTTTGCCGGCTACAAGGTTCCCCATCCCCTGGAGCACAAGTTCGTTATCCGGATTCAGACCACGGCGGACTACTCGCCTCAGGAGGCATTCATGAACGCCATTACCGATCTGCTGGCCGAATTATCACTTTTTGAAGAGCGTTTTAAAGTAAGATAAAAGAATTAAGCATTGTTAAATATCCTGGTTAATCGCAAAAGCGGATCCTTTAGCTTCAAGAGGGGTCTGTTATGCTTTCTTGTAAAGACCTGCGCACAAAAGTACTACATACAGTCGGAAAGCGATGCCTTGCTCCATTAAAAAACCCTGTCTAATTCAAACATTTTCCCTATTTTTTCCAGGACGCCATCAAGGAAAAGAAGGAGGGCGGCGATTAATCCCACATTTCCATTGTACCATCTACGTCTCATGTAAAAAACCCGAATAAAGCGTCTTCTTTCACTTAATAAATTTTATTTTTACACTTTTTTTTTACAATAATTTACGAAACAAAGGCATTAATATCGAATTAAATAAATAAAAAACAATTTGAAATGGACTATTAGCCACGCATGTGTACAGAACGCAAAATCACAATTTAAAATAATAGAATGTTTTTCGTAATAGAGCGAATGAAGTTTAAGCGCCTGAGGTAAAAGTTCTGATCAACAAATATCAATTATTTTTAAAAAATTGTGCTAAAACTAATAGGTCTCATCGTCGGCACATTCGCTGGTATCGTGGCCAAAGACTGAAAAGGGAAAGAGTGATTAGTTAAAGAAAAGTTTTGTAACTTTACAACTTACCCTCGCAGGACTCGCAGTATTTTCTGGGCGCAGGCAGCTTGCGTTCCTTCTTCTCGTTGTTGTTGGCCTCGGCGGTGGGTGGTGGGGAGTAATCCCGATCCTCGCCAGCCTGGATGGGACAGTCCTCCGTCTCGTGCTTATCAAACTCGTCGCAGATGTCGCAGAAAAGTCGAGGAGCAGGCTTACGCTTGGTCAACACATCAAAGGCATGGGGTCTGAAATAATCAATTAAACATTTCAATAAAATAAACTAAATTTCCAAATATAAAAAAGGAACTCACTTGGTGAAATCCATTGGCAAGGTCTCCAGAGTCTGGACTTTGGCCTTAAGGGCATCATTCTTCTGTTGCATGTCTGCAATGATTGAGTTGAGGAAGTTGATCTTCGCCAGACTGGTCTCACTGTCTAGTGGCTAAAACAAAATAAGAAATAATTTAAAAAATATATAAAAATCATCAAGCATCCCCCCGTAGTACCTCCACTGCATCGCCCTTTCCTAATTGGCTGCTGCCCGCTCCATTCATCTGCGTCTTCAGGGTTAGAATCTCCATAGACTTCTCCAACTGCAGCGATTCCAGTTGACGCCTCAGCTCCTTGGTTTCCAGATTGGCAGTCTTTTGGGCTTCGTTGGCCTGGTGGAGAGCCGCCTCGAGCTCCACCACTCTATTTTGAAGCTGTTCCAGCAGCTTGGACTTGGTGGAGGCCGTATCATCCATTTCATCAATGACTTTCTGGTACTCCGCCAGCTGGTTATCAAACTCATTGCCCTTTTCCAAGAGAGTTTGCTTTTGCTTCAGCGATTTCTGGAGCTCCTCGTTGGCCTGCTTCAGTTGCTCCACCTGCTCCAATAGCTTGGCTGTTTCCTCTTGAAGACTCCTCTCCTTAAGCTGCGCCTGTTCCAACTTATCCTGCAGTTCGTTGTGGCTGCCCGTTTGAGTTTTCAATTGGGAATTGGTTTCTGCTAGATTTTCCTCCAGGTTCTTCAGCGTCTCCTCCTTTCTGGTCAACATTTCCTGGAGTTCGCCATTGGCCTGCTGCAACTGAGTTAGATGCTCGGCGGCTGCCAGGGACTTGCCTTGCAGGTTTCCCTCGCTTTCCAAAGCTTTCTTAAGCTGATCCTGCAGCTCCTTGTTGGCGGCCTGCTGGGCTTCCACTTGCTGCCTGGCTGCTTCCAGTTTCTCCTCGAAATCCTTCACCAGTCCCTCGACTTTCACCAGGGAATCGTTGACTTCGCTATTGGCCTTCTGTACTTGCTGCAGTTGCTCCGATAATTTGGCAGCTTCCTCCTGCAAGGCCTTTTCCCGCTTCTGTGCGTCTTCCAGTTTTTCTTGGGTTTCCTTCGATGAGGAGCTTTGTGTTTCCAAGTGAGTATTGCTTTCCTTTAGTCTCTGCTCTAAATTCTGTACAAGCTCATCCTTTTGCTTCAGTAACTCGACATGTTGGACTTTGGTTATCTGAAGTTGTTGCAGTTCCTGGCTCAATTTGGCACCCTCTTCTTGTAAAGTCTTCTCTTTCTGTTGAGCTTCTTGTAGTTTCTCTTGGATTTCCTTGGAGGAGCTTGTCGTGCCCTCCAACTCAGAGCTGGCATCTCTTAGCTTACCCTCCAAAACCAGGACGAGTTCATCTTTTTGTTTCAGTGACTCCTGAAGTTCTCCCAGGGATTGTTGGAGTTCCTTGAGTTGCTCTTTCGAGTTCAAGGATTCCTGCTGCAAACTCTGCTCACTTTGGGTGACTTGCTCTAAGCTTTTCTCCAGTTCCTGGCACTTTTTCTGCCCCTCATCCAGCTTGGCATGGGTATCCTTGAGCTCATCCTTCATGCCAGTGAGTTTCTCAATCAAACGCTCGGCATTCATGTCGGCCTCCATTTCGAAAAGCTCGAATATGTGATTGGTTTCGCTTTTCTCCGCTTGAAGGACCTCCAGGACTGTGGAGAGCTCCGCATTCGTGGCTGATATGTTGGCATTGGCCACCTGAATGGCTTCCACGAGCGTTTTTAGGTCTGCTATCTTCTGAGCATCTTCGGCAGCCATTTTCTCTTTGTGCTGGATCTCGGCGTTGGTGATCTCCAGCCGCTCTTGTAGATCCTTGATTGTCTCTTGGGTGCCACTGTTAAGCTCTTGATTTTCCGCCTTTGCTTTGGTGACCTGATCCTGAAGTGTTTTGATGGTTTCCTGCAGTGACGATTCTTTTCTTTCGGCCTCTGCCTTAAGTTTAGTTTGGGAATCTTCACTGTACTGGAGTTGCTGACGAAGATCCTGGAGTTCCTTCTCCTTCTGCAGCATCTCCTGGCTCCAGACATCGGCCTTGCTGTTCAGCTCTTTCTTGCCGGTGGCCAATTCCTCAGAGAACTTGGAAAGCTTGGTGTGCAGGTCGCTGGCTGAGGATCGCTCTGCCAGGAGCTCAGCATGCAGTTTCTCAGTTATCTCTTTGATCTGGTCCTCCAGATGCGAGGCTTCCGCTCGGGATTCGGCGTATTCCTGAAGGAAAAGTATATATTTAGAATTTTTTTAAATTAAATAAAGGTTTTACTCTACCTTGTTGACCTTTTCAAGCGCAGCATTGGCCGCCTCAAGTTGCTTAGTCCTGGACTCCACATCGGTTTGGCTCGAGCTAAGAGCTGACTTGGTCTGATCCACCTCGGCTTTAAGTTGGCTAAGCTGCTCTTGCAAATTGGACAACTTTTGAGTTTCCTGTTCAATTGTCACATTCGCTGTCTCCAGCTTCTTGGCCTTGGTTTCCGCATCCGCTTGACTGGCTTTCAAGTCCGATTGAGTCTTCTCTGCCTGGGACTTCAGCTGACTAATCTCCTCCTGCAGTTTGGCCAAGTTCTTGGCGCCTTCCTCGCCAGAAGCAGCTGCCTGTTGCTGGAATTGCTCCAACTGCATTTGTGTGGTTTTGAGAAGTCCTTCGGTTTCAGCTGACTTGGCTTCGAGTTTCTGGAATTCCTGCTCTTTGGTTTTAAGGGTCGCCTCCTGATCCATTTTCTGTTCCTCGAGGTCAGCTACCAGTTTGGCCTGAACTTGACTATTCTCCTCCAGTTGCTGCTGCAGTTTTTTCAGAGTTTCTTTGGCTTCAACCAAATTTAGATCCTTCTGGGCATTAAGCTCCTTGTTTGCATCAAGTTGACTCTTTGTTTCTGTCTGTTCCTTCTGGCAGACTTCAAGTTCGGTTTGCTTGGTTACCAAAAGCTGATCTACTGTTTCTTTTTCTAATTTAATTTGGCTAATTTCCTGTTCTGCCTTTTCCCTGACTAGTTTCTCTTGATCCCCAAGTTGCTTAGCTTCAGTCAATAGCTTTTCTAGTTGATCTCTTTCCTCCTGCTTCTTGGCAGCCTCCTCCTTGAGTTGCAACAGTTCCTTTTGGGTTTGCTCAAGAATAGTGGACTTTTCGTCACTTCCAGCCGTTTGTTGTCGAAGCATTTCATCCAGAGCAGAACTGTCGGCCTTTTGTACGTTTAACTGCGTGGTTAGCTCATCAAGTTGTTGGTTTAGCTCCTTAATTTGCTCATCCCGCATCCGGACTTCGGTCTGAAGTATTTCACATTCGTCGGTTTTGTTGACCCTCTCGCTTTCCAGGGAATCGGAGGCGGCCTTCAGGCTCAGCAATTCGGCGTTGATCTTTTCCAGCTCCTCGGTTTTGGCTGCTAGTTTTTGGGAGAAGTCTGCCTGGGCCTCCTCGGCCTGCTTTTCGTTCTCCTCCTTGAGCAGCGCCAATTCCCTGCGCAGATTCTCGATTCCAACCTCGGAGAGGGAGAACTTCTCCAGCGACTCATCCTTGGACACCAGTTCAGCCTGCAGCGTGGCATTCTGTTCCTGCAGGTACTTTACGTTCTCCCTTAGCCGTTGTTCTTCCTCCAGCTGCTCAGCTATTCGGGCTTCAGTCTCCTTCTGTTGAACGCTCAATTTGTCCTGCAGCTGAGCAATCTCCTCCTTGAGGGCACTGTCATCCGGTAGCGGAACAGGTGGCGGAAGACTTTGAAGACTGGGTGTGGCTGTGGGGAATAATATATGGCTGAAAATACTTTTCTGAAAATTCAACTAGATTTATTTCTTTACCAGACTCTAGTTGGGTGACCTTTGATTCCAGATCGTGTATCTTTTCCTTGTACACCTGGGATTGCGCCTATTTTAAACGGGGATTGCATAATTAGTAACAAGCCTGATTAAATTATATTTGTATTATTTTAAACATTGACTTGATTCTGAGAGAACAGCTTAAGTTTTGTGTTAAGAGGCTTGAATAATGCAATAAACTAATTAGAGGTAAATTTATTCAAGTACAAAAATGCTATTAATGAAGCTTTAATTTTACTTTCAACTTATATAAATTCTGAGATTTTAACAATTAAAAATTGAATCTAAACGATATGGTTTTTATACCCTTGCAGGGTATTATAATTTCAGTCAGAAGTTTGCAACGCAGTGAAGGAGACGTTTCCGACCCCATAAACCATATATATTCTTGATCAGCATTAACATGCGAATCTTTCCAGACATCTCCGGAAGAAATCGATTTTTTGGCCATTTTTGCGAAATTTGATAAGGGGTTAAAATTTTTAAAATTTAAAATTTAAAATTTAAAAATTAAAATTTTTGATTTTGACAAAAAATTAAATTTTAAAAATTTTTAAATGAAGTATGCAGATTAATTAACTGTAGAAAATCTTGCACAGAACAGTTTTCCGATTTAAAATTAATGCTCTTTTGGCCGAGTTATGATATTTTTAATTTAAAAAAAATTAAGAAGTTTTTATATTAAAAAATCCGATTTTATAATACAAAATAATAGTTTTCTAAGTCAAGGAATCATTTCCGACCCCATAAACCATATATATTCTTGATCAGCATTAACATGCGAATCTTTCTAGACATGTCCGGAAGAAATCGATTTTTTTGCCATTTTTGCAAAATTTGATAAGGGGTTACATCATTAAAATTAGCAAAAATGGCCAAAAATTTTGATTTCTTAAAATTTTAAATTTGGTATGCAGTTTTTTTAAATTAATAAAAACTAACACAAAACTGCTTTCCGAATCGAAATTAATGCATTTTTGGCTTAGTTATGATATATTTTAATTTATACCTGCAAGGGTATACAAACTTTGGCTGGCCAAAGTTAGCTTTCTTTCTTGTTAATAATATTTAATTAACTAAGTATTTGTAAGATATTTGCTAACAGGTGTCAGTTCAAACGCTGAGCTTTAACTTTTGGCTTCGAGAAACTAATAATTTTATAGCATACTTTCAGTTCTAACAAACTAATCTTTTTTCTAAACCAATGATTTGTTTTACCCTTGCAAGGAGTATAATAATTTTAGTCATACGTTTTAATAGATTTCTGAAATATTTTTGATCAGCACATAGTACATTAATTTCGATATAGCCATGCTCAAATTATCCTTTTTTGGGAAAACTAATTTGAATAGTACGAATTCTATTATATCTATTGAAATTAATATACAACTAGGAACCTACAGTGTTGGATATAGTATACAGATTTCTTTAGAAAATTTTTTTTATTAAATATTTTAAAACCAGAAAGAAAACTATCAGTGGAGAACCAAGGATTTTATACCCTCGCAGTTTGCATTTTGGATTATTGGATCAAATCAAAAATATATTAAAAGGATTCTAATCTTGATTTCATTTTGTTAAGATTTCTATTTTTTTCTAGTGGACATGGCTAGATCGACTCGGCTGTTGATGCTTTTTAAGATATAAAATTATGAATTACATCATCAGAAATGACTTTTTCACAATGTTACAAAACTCCTGATTAAAATTATAATAATCTGTGAAAGTATTTCTATCTATTTCAAAATTAAGTTTTTAGATTTAGATTGTGGGGCCAACAAACCGAATTATTGGATGTGCTATCCGAATTTAATAAATATCCTATTTCTTCAATATGGGCACACAAATTCATTAATACACCTTCGGAAGAACTGCAATCCAAAGTGAACTTGACGCCTTGCCTTTTCTATCAATTGAAAGATTAGGGGATTAATTATTATGGCTTAGAAAGATGATATGCTACAAGCATAAATCAACAAATTACATTTCTATAGCCAAAAGCCAAATATATAAGCTAATTTCCCCAATGAGTCTCTATTTAATAAGCAGAGCTACTTATCTATTTACTTCTCTACAGATCAAGTCAATGTCTAAACTGGCTACTACGACGATTACTACTTCTTACATTCATTTCATCGCCACAAAATTGCAACTCCTCCGATTTCTTGCGCTCATCGCCCAATTCCGACTGCAGTTCGACAATCCTGGCCTTAAGCTGAGGATCGAACAATCAGAGAAAGATGTAAAAGATTAGCAATCAGTTTGAAACCAATAAATAAAACAACATTTGGAGGGGGTAAAAAGTATTTTGCATATTGTTAATGTATTTTTCTTCATATAGTAAGTATATCGTATATTTCGTATCAACTAAACCAACAGCAGGAAAAAATTCGCTTTCGTACAAAATAATCAAAAATTGTTAGACAACTTTTCCATTTTCCTTATTTTTGTTTCTTTCAAAATCGTTTCTTTTTTTTTTTAGCCAAATATAAACCGTTTTTAAGGAGCTTTATTCGTTTTGGTTTTGGGTTGGCTTTCGTTATTATTATTGTTTTTTTGTTTACTTTTTCTTTTGTTTATTTTAAAAGATCTCGTAGATATTTCTTATTTGGTTGTATCAGCTTAAAACGCTGTGCAGACTTCAACATTGTCTTCAGTTGTCCCTTTCTCGATGCGAAGAAGGTTAAATCAATTCAAAAATCATCCAATCGAATAGTTTGAGCACTCATCCATCCCATCTGTTCCAGATGTTGGGTTCTACTTGACCCCCAGCGGCGTGAGGACACTGTGCAGGATGCAGTGCCGCTCGTGCTTGCCCGACCAGCCGCGGAACTCGCGTCTCAGATCGGATAGCCTTATGCTGTGCCTCGCGATCAGGCGCCTCCAGCGATCCGCTTCGATCAGTATTTGCTATAAGAATCGTAAAGAATAGTTTTGTGCAAACAGGATTTCTTTTCTATGAGCCAGGCGGCCGGCATAATTTTTCAAATTGGTTGTCAAGTTCTTTGTTTTTTGGTTTTGCGTTAAAAAGGATAGAGATGGATCAGTGGATGAAAGAGATATATATAGGAATGGTTGGGAGGAGGAGGCATTGGGGTGATAATTTTGTTGCTAATTTAACACTCAAACTCAAAGTGCGTTCGACAAATAGAAAAGTCTAACACGTATCCGCAAATAATTACAAACACAAACAATTTATTCAGAAACGAAACCAAACAGAAAGCACAAAACTGAGTCATCTTCTAGAATAGCCCCAAATAAAAATGGAAAAGCAGTTGCAGAGAAAATCAGGTAAGTGTTTAGTGCCTATTGAATATATATATTATATTTCTGAAAGCCCAAAGTGCAAAATAACATTGTTTATTTATAGTTTAGATTTCTGTAATTTCTATGTTGTGTTTATGATAATTGAACAGTACAAAATTGTGTCTGAATAGAGATGAGATATATATTTTTAAGGGATATTAAACTTCAAGTTAATCATGCTAAAATTATTAAATTACTTGTGCCAGCACAAAATGGAAAATTAAAATAGGACAAGAAATGTATGCAACTTGATTTAAAATCAATTTTTTCTTTGTATACATTTCAGAATTATGGCATCCAATAATAGCAGTAATAACCTTAACCCATTGTTAGCCGAATTTTGACCGAGTTAAATGCTGTTGAACCCCCCGAAAACCTTTCATGCCTAGTTAAACTTATGAAATTTGTACTCTTCTCAGCGTTCAAAGTTAATTTGATGAATCATTTGCGGGGAAATGACTGACAATTTGGGGATGACTTGTTTGCTTTGCTGTGGTTAACGAAGGAAATAATAAAATAAATAAAAAAAGTGGCAAAAATTAAGTGAGTTTGGAGTTAAATTAACAACACAATAACACCAGGTCTCGAAAGGTGACTCAAAAATGTGTTACACATATTTAAAATAAGAGTAAACAGTATTACCAATAGTACTTTTGTGGTAAAGGTTTTAAAGTACAATTGGTAATATTTTTAAGAGTTTACTACTATTTTTTTTTTTTAATTTATCTGAGCCACTTTTCAAAACCTACAAAATCAAACACAAGAAAATGAGCCAAATTATAAGACATAACGGTGAACAAATAAAGAAAAGTTAAGCACAAATGAAGAATTTGGTTGCTGCGCGGGGAAGTTGAAGGTGTTGCGTGTTTGCAGCCAGCAAAAGTGCAATGCAAAAACATATAATAAAACAAAACACAATTAATCGAAACCGAAACTGCACAAATGACTGAGCAAACATTGACTGTGGCCCTCAGCCAACTGGAAAGAGTTTCTTTTTATCGCAAAACCAAACTTTCTTCGGCTTGGCCTGCTGCTGCTGCTGTTGTAGTTGCAATATCTGCTGCTGTTGCTGTTGCAAAGGCTGCCTGGCCGTTGCTGTTGGATTTGCTGATACAGTTGCTGGTTTCGTACGGGTGGTGATGCAGCTGCTCAGGGTTGTGGGCACCCAGAGGTGCTGCTGCTTGACCCTCACCGAACCCTTCTTGCCACCAGTAGGCTGTCGATAGGGTCGCGATCTGTCCGCATAGGGCAGCGGTGCGTACATGGTATCGGTGAAGATAATTACCTCGTTGATGTTCTTCTGCAGCTGCAGCGCCTGGTTCTGTGCATCCTCGCGGTCCAAGTCCCGCTCCACCATCAACTGCTCCACATGTTGTTGCTTCTCGCGCAGCAGATCCTACAAAATCGACCGAGATCGAGCACAGAGAGCACAAAGCAAGCGTTTATGAAATGCCTGGACACACGATTAAGACAGTACAATACAGTGTACAGGAGGATAGTTCGGATACATATATAGAAGATACATTTATAGAGATGTGTAGATAGGTGTATGTACAAAGACAGGGTGCGGCAGGGTGTGGCATAAAGGACACTCATTACACTCATATAGTATATACCGTTGACAGCGAACAAACATGCAAATAAAAATAATAGCAATAATAACAATAACGAAAAACATTGAACGATCAACATTTAAACAGCCAAAAAGCGTGCAGGAAATATTGAAATATATATTTATTATTGTACATTGTGAAATAAAGAGAAAAATAAAATACCAACTCAAACACATGGCATTAAATGCATAAAGAGTTCGTAGGCATACATTTATTATTAATTTACATATTCTGTTTTTGGTGGGGTTGTTGTTTTTCGTGTGTGTGTGTGGGTTAGTGTCTTATGTTAGTTGTACGCTTACAAGCTACGGATTAATCCACAAAATTACTGGAAGAATTCCCAAGCCATTAACGTTGAAAGTTTAAAGATACAAAATTAGGTCTATTAATTGTATATTATATATTATTTTTCCTTAAATAAAAAATTTAGAAACTTCAAACTAGGTTGGCTTTTGCCTTCGCATCGACGCTTAGGATTCCCAACGGGGTCTAGCTTAAATTGAAGGTAAATTACCAAGAAATTTAGCAATAATAAGCAAGTGGTCTGGTACAAATACTAAATTTAGAAACTTTATACATATTTAAATTTTAAAATTTTAAAAACCTTAATTTTAAACCCTTTTAACCATATTTTCTTAATTTTAAAAAATATATAAACGAAAACTTTTTAACAAATTTCTTAAATACTTTCACCAATTAACCATATTTTACAATTTTATAGAACATTTCCCTGGACTTTCAACGTTAATAGATGGGATGCTAACAGCAAATTTAGCTCTGATTATTCATAGAGCTCTTTTAACCAAAAAAGGGGAAAACCAACAGCGAATACCATACATTTTTTGTTCTTGTATTTTTTTCTTTAGCATACCTGCATGGAAAATTGGCTTTTCGGCGTCGTTATTATGGGCTTAACTGGCGTGATCGACTTGCGCTGCTAGGAACGGAACGAAGGTGTGGGATTGCGATTAGAATTGTAACACGTTAGTATCCAGGGGGCGGGAGGTATCAAAATATAAATTAGCAAATAAGTTAATGGGTCAGATAATAAAATTTAACAAATAACAAAACCAACTGCAAACGGTATTTGTGTGTGTTGGGGGGTAGCTGTAGGGGACTGAGAGCTGGGCCTCAAGGGTGCCCAAGGGGTCACCGCTTATACCTGAGCATTCATGCGCATGCGCGACGTATTTGTGGTGGCAATGCTGTTCATGGTGCCGATCGAGGTGAGCGACTCCCGTGATCCGGTCCTAGACAGACGCGTCTTCTTTGACGACGGCGACAAAGTGACCTTTGCTATGGGCACAAACACCCCGTATTTGGGCTTGCACTCGAAGTATCTGCAAATGTTTCGGCATACCATGAATGTGTTACTTAATGAGACAGAGTTCCTTTGAGTCTATACCTTATACCATCCACGGCTCCATCGTTTTTGCCGCTTGCCTCATCCAATTCCACGCCGCACCAGTTGCCAGGAGCAAACTGTGTCTCGCCCAGGTAACGCAAGATGCCAGGACGACTGCCAAAGCCAGAGGAGACAATCACACGGTCGCCAACGGTAAGGCCATTTTCTAAAAGAGATGTGAATTACTACATTTTTAGGTTCTCTTCTCCTAGGCTGTAGACTTACTGCCGCCTATTCCGGGACTACGAAGCATGGAGCTGCGAATACTCGCTGTTGGGGAGACTGTGCGCGATCTGTCTGGCGAGTTCTTGGCCAAAGGCGATGTGGGAGTGTGGGCTCCGGACATGGGATATGTGGTAAGACGCGTGAGCCGCGAGAAAATGCCGCGTTTTGGCTCGCACTGGAAGTATCTTTTGCCTGAAACACACCCATCGTTTTTGCCTAAAAAAAAGAAAGAATTTGTAGAGGTTTTAAGGATCTAATAGACATTCACAACTTACCATTGGGTTCATCCAGGACAATGCCTGCCCAGTCGCCGGGTGCAAAATGTGTCTCTCCAATATAAGCAATCTGTCCGGACCGAAGGCCTCCGACCCATACCCGCTGGCCAATGATGAACTGCTCGGTGTTCGCTGTCAGCACAGTGCTGTTGTGATCTGTGTTCAGTGGGAAATAAACATCCAGTTGGGGGGTCCCATTAGTACCGGCCGTTAAGTCATCAATCAAGATACAATAGACAATGCTAAAATTGGCTGAACTGCGTTTTCATTTATCTCCAATACGGTTCATTTTTCATGTGTTCCAGTTGGAATATGATGTCATTGGCAATTTGCATATCGCGTGCTCAATGGAAAGCCATTGAGAACGATCCCCGTCCCCCGCATATAATGAATATCTCTAAACGGATTTAAGCTCTGTGTAAACTTGACATTTACAGTCTGTTCAATATTCCACTTTTACAACCAAGAACTCTCAGATTTCGCATTTTTAAAAGCGGATTTATCTTTTTCTTATGCGATTTGGATGGAAAACCATTAAGTGGAAAATTACAGGAAACAAGCGCATTATAAAAAGCTAAATAAAATTGCATGCAGCTCAATGAAGTCATAGCAACATTTTGCCAAGTTTGGCTGTCGTGTCAGTTAATTTCATTTTGTTGTTGACTGCATCCACCCACAGCCATTAGATATGGCAAGTTGTTCATTATTTTCCTATTTTCTGTTTGTTGTTCAAATTGATAGGCGCTGAAAATTGCATTTTAGTGGAGCTTTTCCTCTTCCAGATTGCAATTAAAATATAAAAATGTTACTTTTTTAATCTTTGAATGCAGTTTTAATGCTTTTTTATCAAAACAATTTTGTATTGCATCATCGAGTTTTATTTTTAAATTATTTAAAGTAAATAACAAGTTTTTATAATAGTTTTTGAATATTCATAAAACATCATTGCTTTGGGTTATTTGCATATTTATTTTTAGTCGGGAAAAACATTTATTTTAATTTGTTTTTAGCCCATTAATCAATGTAAACTATTTTTAAAAAAATAATATGAACAACAGTAAAAGCTTAATAATTAATTTAGCAATTTCAAAGTAAGCCAGATAAATCCATTCACTAAAAATAATGTAAATCATTCCCTTACCTTGATCTAATATTTCCTAATTAATTATAATGGATTAAGTTTCCCCATCCAATTTATTTTCCATTAAAACCGTAACGATTTTGCCCCAAATTCATTAATCCATAGACTTGGCCAATTTAATTTGGGATAAAAAAAAAACTTATAAAGTAATAAAATCAGCATAGTTAACCCTAGAGAGGCCTTGACTTCCCAGGTTGAGTCAGCAAAAATAGATATTGTCACAGCAATCGCTGCGTCTCATTAGAGACGCAATTACACCCACAGTGAGAGGTAAATTTGAACACGTTTCCAGTGGCTCATTAAGCTTTGTTAACTTGACAATACTTTGGGCTACCGAAGATGCAGAGATATGCCTTCTGCAGTCTCCTTAACATGGAGAGATATTTGACAGTTTTGGCCATAAATTAGTGCTGTTAATGTTTCTGCCGAATGACCATTTAAGGAGTGAGCAACTGGCCTAGATGCATAGAAATTTATAAAAGACAGCCACCTGCGCAAATGGCTAGAACCAAACGTGCTCTGCAGATACAAGATACAGAATAGTGGCAAACATACCTATTTTTTTAGCACAGAAAGAAGTTTGTTTGTCACAATAAACTAAGGTTTTTATATTGTTCTAAAAACATACATAAAAACTTTTAAATTGAAAGTAACCTTTAAAACCTACTATCTTTTTAAACCCAGTTTAAAATACTCTTAAAATTGTTGTGATCATAATTTTTCTCTCTGTGCATCCACCCACAATCCCGCATGCCGAATGCTTGCTTACCTGAGCTGCGACGTCGCCCAGTGGCCTCTAGATAATAATCATCTTTGGCGTTGGAAAACAAAACAGAGACAAAAAACAAAACAAATAGAAACAGATACAGATACAGATACGAAAACAGATAAAGATACATGCGGCTGGCGATGGCGGCGGTCGAGGAACTTACAAGATGTGCGACTTCCAGCCTCCGATTTTAGCGAGCGGCGAGCGGGCGAAAAGCGGTCCCAATCGGATGTGGGTGAGAGCGAGGATCGCGTAAAGCGCCTGACAGTCTCTTGATAGAGATCTATATGTATATATACGGTTGTATTTAAATGAAGTCAAGCCGATTTTCCATAATAATCGCAATCGCAATCGCAATTGTTTAACATTTAGCATTTTCAGCCGCCTTTCGTGGGTGTTAACTGAGCAAGCAAGTTTTTCCAGCAACTGACATTTCCCCCTTTTTGTTATATTATATATGCCTTATACATATTGGTATTGGTTAAAAATTAGCGCATTTGTGTTAAGCCCAATTTGCTCTTTTGGGTTGTGAAAGTTTTTTGGCAGCTCGTGAGTATTCGCTTGTGTGCTTGATTTCTTGTTTTTAATAAGATCTTGGCCGCAAGCAGTTGTGGTAAAGGTTAGATGGCAGCGAAAAAAAAAGGCAACGAACGGTAATCGGAGATCTGTTATTAAAGCTGAATGTGTATATATATAGATGGATCTGACTTGGAGAGAGATTGGTGTGTGCTTGGCCGTGCTGGTAATATGATTATAACGTGTAACTGATTTATGAATATAAAACAAACTTTAGAGATTCTCTCCTGAAGTAGAGCAACTTTTTTGTGTAAAAGAAAATTATGTTTTGCTTTTTAAATAGGTCTAAAATATGCCAAGATAAATATTCTAACTAAAAAGAATTTATGTTATATTTTTATAAAAGTATTCTCTGCCAAAAATTCTAATAATTAACCACTACAAACTTCAATTTTCTGGTAATATCCTAAAGTATTCTTTAAACCTATAAAACCTTCATAAGTTTATTAAAAACTATCCTTAAAAATCTCTCAAACAATTTAACTTAACAATGACCAGCTTTATGATCAACATAAATGTACCAACAAGCTATTGTATTTTATTTGCTTTTTAAGTCTACCCAAATCAGATTAAAGAACGTCTTATACAATAAAAAAAAAATATATATATATATGTATCTTTCACCCAACACTTATTGTGTCAAAATGTTTATTGATATTGATCTGTCCATATTCTTTATTTTCCAATTGCAACTTTCAAAATCAATTTACGCTTTTGCCAAAAACTCCACGAGGCAGAGCAACAAAAAACATACATAAATCAATTAAATTGTCGACAGTTTGGTAACGTTTTCAAAAAGCCACTGAATGACAGACAACAGGAGCTTTAAAAAAGCAAACACAAAGAAAGATGCTCTGGACAAAAGGAAGAGGAGATCGAGAAAAGATTTTGGTTTTTCAATTGCACGATCTCGGTTTCCGTTTACTTTTCATCCTCAGCTGTGTGCGCTGTGAAAGCCCCCAATCGCGCACACCATACGTCATGTAGTTAATTGTGTTTTTGTCAGTTGAAATTGCTTTTATTTTTTTAATTTTTGCTCATATTTGTAATTTACGCCAGACATGCTCTCCTGGCTTGAAGATGTTTTCAACTTGGGCTACTGTTTTGGCTAATCAACCGATTGCGCTGCTGCTGCTGGCAGCCAACTTCAAACTTCAAGGTTCAATTGTATCTGCCAGATACTGTGGCATTCGTGCAAGACAATTTGTTATTATTTGCCATTATACATCATGACGGTAGCAATTTATTTTGTATCATATATGTTTGTAACTATTTCTTTTTTTTTAATTATCACAATTGGGCGTTGTAACAGTTTGTACACGTAGAGAAACAGGTATTTGCTGGAAAAATCAATGCGATATATTTCCGTAATATTTTTGGTTTGTAGGTACTTTATTTGTGGTCTATTTTTTCAGTGTTTGTAAACCTTTGAGAGGGATTTCCTTTTCTTTTGCAATCTTTTTTTTTTTGCCAACCAACTTTCACTAATGTTTTCTCTGGCTCTTGGCGTTCTGTATCTCGTCTGTGTATCTGTAACTTGAACTGTGGCGAATGTCTGGCCTGGCTTTATGTAATGCCCAATGCCAGCCAATAAATCACACTCGATTTGACTGGTCTTGACTTTACCTTCGCTAATTGAGGCCCCCGTCCCCTCCCCCTGAGGTAATTTCCAACGTTTTAACTGTGAAAAGTCGTCATCAAGGGGGGGCTGGCTGGCTTCTAAAAATACGCACGCACATACATAGATGACAAACAATTTCCTTGCAGTTGACATTCAGTGTCGCAGCTAATGAACTCGTGTATCCTACAGATACGCAGATGAATCATCAAAGCGCACCGCTGCCCGTTCGGGCCAAGTGGAGTGTGGCGCCGCTGACGTTGCGCTGCCAGTTGCCAGTTGCCAGCTTTTCCAGCTTGCCAATGTTGATTTGGCCAAAAGGCGACCGGCGACGACCCACTTTGCTCACGACTCTGATTCTGGCCAAATCGAAGCGTTTCTGGCCAAGAGATATATGTATGTACGAAAACAAATATTTCGCCAGCCATTTATGGCGGGTCGATCGCGCGCTGACCGGCGATAAATCAGCCAACAGCGCAGGCCATGTCAATAGCTTATTATCTTTTGAAATGATTAAACAACATTTAATTAAACTAAACTGTGTGCAGGTCGCTGGACAACCAGCCCCTTCTTTCCCTGAGTTCCCCTAAGCTCCTGTCTGTGTGGGTTGCCATCGCAGTTCTGATCAGTTTGCATCTGGCGCATTCATGTGGGCTTAGGTAGTGAGCAAATCTTTGAGATTTTTGCTTTATAAATGATATATAAAATATATATCTAATTTTTAGCACTATTTTAAAAGTTTTATAAGCGCTGCGGTCTTTGGATAATTAAGGAATATTATATATTGATATTATATTTAATATTTATTGATGATTTAGACTTTTTTTTTATCTTATTTATTATATATTTTATCTTAAATTATAGAGAAAATGCTTTTAGTTACCTTTAACCTGAGTCAATGTTCTAAAATTACTCATTATCTTAACAAGGGTCTCAACTTCTTAATTCTTTTATAACTTTCAAAGATCTTATCTTATTTAAAACCAGCAAAATATAAGATAAAAATGTGTTTTATCTTAAATACTAAGCCAGACTAAACACTTTTTCTAAGAACTAGGTCTCGAGACTAAGATTTAATTTTCCAAGTGTATTTTCCAGCCTCATGAAGCAATTTCTGTCCAGTTTTTAACGCCGCTTTGGCTACCCACATTATCGTAGTAGTTTCTTTACAGCCCCACAGCTTGGACTGTGCATGACTTACATGACTTTTCGGCATGTAAAATGCAAATCCATCTGCGAGTCTCTCTGGCAAATGCCGACAAAAACCGATTATTAGCTGTCGCAGTTGCAGCTCTCGCTGCTGATTGCTGATCTCTGCTGATTCCGGATCACTGTGGGCTGCTCCAAGTCATCCCACTGTAGCTGCGGGGAATTACAGTACAGTGGAGCTTTTAATGAGCAGTCTCCGAGTAAAAATATCTCGGCTATAAATACAAATTTCATGGGGGTGTGGTCGTTGAAAGTAACTTAGTTACAAGCCCACTTTAATCTTTTCGCATTCCCTGATGCTATAACATTACCTTTAGATTTGTACAAGCTCCACTGTGGCTACTTTTACAAGCAATTTTTATCGCAATTGATTTAATTTCAGCTCATTGTTCTGAGCAGACAATAATTGCATCGGCAATAGCTTTGTATAAATATTTATTGGCTGCCTTTGTTGGAAATGCTAAATGTTTTCAACAGGAATCTTGGGGCGACAAACTAGAATTTCACCAAATAGAAAACTGGTTTTCCAGATGAAGATGCTTACGTGACTGGCGCTGATCGCCTAAAGGCGTGTCCCATATTTATTAATTATAGATATATACTATATATTAAATACCCAAAAAAATGTATATATCCAACCGGTTGGGCCTCTGTTTCGCGTCGCGTATTTCGCATTACAATTAAAATTTGTTTAAGTTTAGAACGTGTTTCGAATGCGAAATAAAAAACACCGAAACACACATGTGGCAGAAGGGCAGCCAGTTGAATGAACATTCCATGAACACTCTGGGGATGTTACCCGTCTATAAAAACGATTTTAGCCTAATGGATTTCCCCTACGGCTAAGGTAAAAAGCTATTAAAATTATGACGGATCATAGCGGACATTGATAGGCCTTTGATTGGGCTCTATGAATGGGGCAGAGATCTAATCAGCAAAAGCTATCGTAGATCGTGGGATTGTTTTGACATTTTTTACTTGATCGAGGAAAGATGTGGCATACACAAGTAGATAAGGCAATGAAGTGTCTGTTTTTATTGAGATCACTGAACTAAAAGTCGGGGGAGTGAGGGAGAAACTGTCTGGATTTCAGGGTTAACATCAATTGCATTGAGGTGTACAAACTGTGAATGAAATGAAAATTAATTACCAGGTCAATGAAAGTAAACAAGCCAGATAAGATATCAGATATCTGAGAAAGCTACTACATTTCCCTTTTAAGATACCTTGTAAATAGGTAATTGAATGGTGAAATTACCTCTATTTAATTTCTTAATGTTCCTATCTTTAAAATGACTCACTATCTATCTCACTAGCTCAAGCTAATAGAATATATTGTTATTAAAATTGTAATTGATTTTATTAGATTTTTCTCAGAAAACTAGGTAACCTTTATAACAAATTATACTTGGATATGTATACTATTGTTCTTGGTAATCCCTGACTAACTTACCCCTTGTATTACTATAAATTATGTATGGTTAAATAGGTATTTGTTATTTCCTCAACATATATATGACACATTAATTTGTTGTTTTTCCCATCCAATTCCGCATTGATTAATGTTTATGCCCAAAAAAGATGTCAACACAGATGTGTTAATTTCGCCCACATCAGCAAGCAATTATTTGAAAATTAATTAAATATTAATAATGTCATGGAGGGGAGATTAAATGAAACGCATTCAGCAGAAGCCCAGCCATAACAGGTGTAAAATTAACAAGTAAATGCAATCAATAAAATATATAAGTAAAACGTAAAAATATAATTACCTGTATAAGCCGAATTGATCGAACTTAAATTGTCATCGCTTTCACGACTCATGCTGGCGGTATCTAAAAATAAAATCAAAAGCCGAAAAAAAGAAACGAGCGCAAAAAACGCAAAGTGAGCATAACAATATTAACACAGTAACAAAATGTTAAATAAAAATTAAAATATAATTACAGCTAAGCGAATTCAGGCCATGGTAACGGGGCAAGAAAGCGCAGCCAAGAAAATGTTGGTAAAATAAAACGCAGGAAACACACAAAAAAAAAGTAAGCTGCAAAGTGGCAATTAGTTATGGGTCGCCCTGGCAGATCAACCTCTCCACCCAAAAAGAGTCACATTCCATTTGAAAGAGATTAGATAACTGGGAGAGTGTGTTGGGTGAAGGTTTTTCGTTGGGTAACATAAAAAAAAATGTATATAAAAAGCTTAACAGACTTCTTCTTCCGCAGACTCCAATAACAAGAATTATGTGGAGGTAAAAATTCTGGAAAATTGTATTTTTCTTGGGAACATAATATATAACAAAGACAATATCAATTTCAATCTGCAAATGTAAATAACAGTAATTAATTCTCTATAATAGGATTTAACAAACTAATGAATAAAGAAGTTGCTAACAACATAACGAGATATATCTTTAGATATATTTCAAGTAGAACACAAAAATCATTGAGTATAAAATTAATGTCACTCCGTTTCCCTTGGGTAACAAAATCTCCAGGTGAATAAATTAGCATATTCAGCTGAAGCAGCAATCCATCAATATTATACAAGAACTTAAAAAACAAGTTCCACTCTGAGAACGAAACTAGACACCATTTAATGACCTATAAAAAAATAGAGAAAAATAAAAGCACCTCCCAAAGATATTGAATTGACATTTGACTTTTCCACCGGCAATCAATATTTGTTTACCTTATCCATAATTAACGAGAAGATACCCAAATGAGAGAAGTTAAACAAATAAGCAAAACTCAAGAGAAGACAACTTCATATAGTATTTTTTGCCAAAAGTGTTTTTCCTATATTTGTTTGTATTTATTTATGAATAATTAATGTTCCGACAGACGCGTGTGTCTCGATCTTAAGATAAGCAAAAAACAACTTAATTATTTGTTTGTTTATGATGTCAAATTAAAAAAAGACTCTTCAAAAACTTTTTGGCTAAAATGCCAGCGAAGAATGTTGAAAGTAATTTGCTTTGTATTTGGTCAGTTGCCATAAACATTTCGGTTGTGCAACCCACACGCAATTGGGATTGGAATTCATTTCGATGGATCGTTCGATCGCAGACACAAAATGTGGGCGTGTCGCAATTTATAACTGTTTTTTATTTAGAGCCAACGATAGAGAAGGAGGAGTTCACCCAAAATGGACATTAATGTCATCATTAAATGGGAGTTCATCCATCGATCATCAACGATAATGGAAGTCATTTAAGAGGTTAACTGTTGATTTAGATTGGATTTTTGAGAGGAACGTGTAAGTTGGCAAGTGAGTTTGTGGGATATATTCTGTATTTCACTGCTTTATGTATATTTTTTTCTATATCTCAATCAATGTTTTCTTATCTTTCCTGTCACTTCAGATTTTATTTACATTTCTCAAGAGTGAATAATTATTATAAATATAATTTCCTCTTCAGTATTATTAAATAAATTCTTTTAATTAATACAAAATACTCAAACAATCCTTCGAGTACCTTTTGCTGTTGAACATTTTAACTTAGCACCTGGGGGCTATTCCAAGCAAGACTTAAGTGCTTCTCCCCGAGAATTGTGTAAGTGACGTGTTAATTTATTTGACTTTTGCTTTTGCTGTTCTCGCTTAGAGCTTTATTGCATACGAAATAATTAAAAGCACTGAAGTGTAAGCAAAACAATGAGCAAACAAAAGAGTACGAGAATATGACCAAAAAGTGTGGAAAAAAGTGATTAAAATTGTTGTTTAATTGTTGAACGTTAAGCATTCGAGCTGAACTTGGTTAAATTTGGCTGATGCATGAAATGGCCAAAAATTTAAACAAAAAGGGAGAGGTTGGCATCTCGCTTAAACCCGGAACAACGATTTATGAAAGGTTTGACTCGATCTCGAGTTTAAAAATCTGGAAATATATAGTAAACCTATTAAACCCTAAAAAATTAAGCAATTCATACAATTGAAAAAGCAATAAAATCAAAGTCGATTTAAAACTATTATAAGCTTCCATAATAATTTCAGAATTTCCTCTTAAAACCAGAACCTTAACCCATCTTGTGCGGTCCCAAGACATTTCCTAATGAACTCTTCCATTAAGCTTATGACAAACTCCAGAGGCAATAATTCATTAGAAGCGGAAAAGTATCTCAAAAAGAAAACAAATAAAAAAAGGCTGGCCAAAATTGAGCTGCCGAAAAAGAAGGCTGGCCAAAAGAGAGCTAAACACAAAAAGAAGGCAGAAAAATGAAGGCAATAATGGGTTTGTTTACACGAAAACCCAGCGAAAATGAACTCAAAGAGAAAGACTCCGATTTCGTTTAGGCTTCGGGGTCCACTCAGTTGTGACAACAAATCATTTCAAGAGATGTACAAGCAAAACAGGTGCCAACTGAAATATCATTTCATAATCGGCAAATGAAAGAAAATGACGGTACGGAGAGCGTACAAATTAATTAGCCAAAGGTGGTTACACCTTTTTCAATTTTTTCTCCTTTCATTACCGATTTGTGTTTAGCCAAAGAAACTGTAATTAAACTGCTGTGGAAGTTTGTGAAAAAAAAAGTAAAAGGCACCGGCGGAAGAGCAAAGGAGCCAAGAAAGTGGCAAACAATAAATATAAAATAAAAACCATTTTCGAGGCGTGTGAAACGCAATTAGCCAATGAAAAGCATTTACCGTAATTAAATGCCCATAAATGAATGCCAAACAAAGTGCAATGCAAATTAGCCGAGCACAAAGGTGCGTATACGTGATCAAAAAGCGAATATTACTCATACGCCACCAACACCACCCACGAGAGGCTGAGCTCTCTATGCTAACGATTCTAGAACAAACACCTAGCTGAGCTCACTCGGGAGCTTCAAAAAAAACATAAATAAATATAAATCAAATATAACGAACGGCAAACAGCAACAATAAAATTGTGTAAACAAACCGACTAAATTGAGGAGAATGACGACAGATCATTATTGCCGGTCGCGGGATCCACAGCAAATATATAAAAGTATATAGAATGTATTCAGAAGCCCCCGGTGGTGTTGGTGCGAAATATATCGGGAAGAGCGGCCTGTCAAGGTGATGTCTCCAAATGGCTTTATGACAACGCTCCCACACGCCCACCAGTTTGTACAGGTGGATTGTGTAATCTTCAGGCATTTATATACATTTGTATCTAGCTCTATATACAATGTATCCATATTTCAATTCGATTCCAGTTGTGTAAGCAGCAGCAGCCTTGAAAACTTTTTAAGTTTCCTTATATATGATCTTTTGCGTTTCAAAAATTTAAGTTATTTTAAATATTATTAAGGCGATTCCCAGTAAATATAAAAATTATTACATTTATTAAATGCATTTGGAAAATGTTTTAAAATGATTTGAAATGTCCCTATATATTTTATCATATATTTACTACGTGTTATCTTTACCAAAAAAAGAAGAACGTTGCAATCAATCCAAAATACCGGCATCTTTTATCACATTCTTCCAAAAATTATCAGACTCAATCAATAAAGTAATCAGCTTCCAAGATGAGTAAGAATTTCACAGACATGCGAAATATTTGTAGATCTCACGCTCATTTCTAATTCACAGATAACTCTTGGCAACAGCAAAAAGTTATACCAATTTTGGCCTGGCAATGTCGACGCCGAGAGAGTAGAATCGAAAATAAAAATGTATTTTCTTTCCTACACGATTCCTGGTCTTATCGCTCCACCGAGCTGTTGTTGTGCCGGCACTGATAGAAGCAGAAAATAATAACACACAAAAATTTAGAGCTGATAAAATACCAGTTAACAATAACAATGTCAAAGCCAAAGCCAAAGAAATGAAAACAGTTGGCCTGGTCTAAAATGCTTAGACAATCGTCAGACGAAATGTGCGTTATGCGAACGGAACGTGGCAGTGAAAAGAAAGCCGCCGCACGGAAAGAAAGTCAGCCACAGACAACTAAATAAAAAAAAATTGAAAATTTACATTTGCATAAAGCGTTAGCCGGTGGAAGCCAACTTGATTTGGCAATAAGACGTCAAAGCCGGGCCCACAAATAAAAGCAACAAGTTACCAATAAACAAACATTCAACAAAACAGACAACCCCAAGGAAATTGCACTAAAATTCAAAGTCTTGGGCAATATGCAAATATTGCCGCTGTGAAAGTCATGCCATTTTGTATATATTTATATTTATAGATTTCGCATAGACTTTGTCTCCGCCTTGTCCGGCTGCATCTCTCATTCAAGCCAAAATACAATCAGCAATAACAAATTTTTAGATCTAATTAGCGGTTAACCGCAAATTTTCAATACAATCCGCAACCGAACATTGTTATTGCTGTTTCGGCAAATCAACTTTGTTGTTGTTTAGAGTTTATTGAAGATATAGAATGCCTTAAGGTTATCGCGGCCATTTAGCCGACATTTCAATGAGAGTGGGAGAGAGGTTGGGGGACACGTGTTTAGCACATTTACATGCTTTTTTTTTTGTGTGTAAGTCAATTTACCTATATAAGTGCCTGTAAACAGGAACCCAATGGATGTAAGCGGAAAATCCCTAATTAGCTACGTTCTCTGTATAACGATAATGGTTAATGGGATGAGGCCTGAAAGTACATAGCAACGTAAATGCTAAAGGCCAAGCTGCTAAGGGAATTTATTGTTTATAACTTTACAGTTACAAGCTCTCCATTTCAGCAAACTAACAATGAAAATTTTTCTAGAGAAAAATAACTTATTTAATGAATATTCCGTTCCATGAATCGAAAATATAATATTTTAGAATGTATTATAAGGCGTACAGTAAGCCTTATAATACATTAATTTCTGATGTAACTAAGATTTTACCACTTTCAAACATTTTTTATA